AGTATCTGGACCGTCTTCAAGGGCAGCCCCACATAGAGCATGTTATAATAATCTAATGGGAAAGTTACCAGCGCATGTGTCACTGTCGCCAAGCAGCGCTCGTCCAGGTGTAGGTGACGGATCACACAGCTGATGGAGCAGCTGAAGCTGAAGGAAAGCGCTCCTTGCCGCCACCACCACCTGAGCCTCCAGGGACAGCTCTGGGTCAAGGAGCACCCCCAAGCTGCGAACCCTATCCTTTAGAGGGAGTGCAACCCCATCCAGGACAGGGCTAAAATCACATACCTAAAAACCTGAACCATCCACCAAAAGGACCTCCATCTTATTTGGATTGAGCCTCAGTTTATTGGCCCTCATCCAGCCCATTACCTTGGCCAGGCACTCGTTAAGGACAGCCACTGCCTCACCTGGTTTAGATGTAAAAGAGAGGTAGAGCTGGGTGTTGTCAGCATGTTGATGACTCTGCAGCCCAAACCTCTGGATGACCTCTCTCAGCGGCTGCATGTAGATGTTAAATAGCATGGGGTATGAAATGGAACCCTGCAGTACTCCATGGCAAAGCTGCCATGGCGCAGAGCCAGTGTCCCCCAGCACTACCTTCTGGAATCGGCCAGACAGGTAGAAATGGAACCACTGCCAAGCGGTGCTTCCTACTGTGGTCGACACACTCCCCCTTTTCCTCTCCCTGCACAGCGTGCAGGGCAACCAAGGCAGATTCAGTACCATACCCGGGTCTGAAGCTGGGCTGAAATGGGTCCAGATGATCTGTTTCTTCCAAGAGTGCCTGGAGTTGTCCCGCCACCACCTGCTCCAACACCTTGCCCAGAAACAGGATATTGGCCACTGGTCTATAATTGGCAGCCACCTCTGGGTCCAGGGATGCCTTCTTTAGGACAGGCTTGATCACCGCCTACTTCAAAGGTGCGGGGACCCAGTCCTCCCTCAGAGAGAGGCATTGATGACCTCCTGGACCCAGGTACCAATCCCGTGTTTGGCTTTGGTAAGCAGTCGTGAAGGGCAAGGGTCAAGTGAACAGGGGGTAGGACGTACCATTCCAAGCACCTTGTCCACTTCCTCAGGCCACAACAACTGGAACTCATCCAATAAAAATGGAACAGACGGGGCTCTGAACATTTCCTATAATGGAGCTCTATCAACTGTGGAGTCCAGGGAGCGATTTTCTCCTTGAAGTGCTGGGCAAAGTTGTCACAGCAGGATTGTGCCATAAGCGCTTTTTTTGGGCTAGGGTCTACTAGGCTGTGCACCACCCGAAAGAGCTCTGCCAGACAGCACTGTGAGGAGGCAATGGAAGTGGAGAAAAATTGCTTCTTCGCTGCCCTCACCACCACAGCGTAGGCCTGATAGTGGGCTCTTAAGTGTGTGGGTCAGATGTGTCTCATGATTTCCTCCGCCTGCGCTCTAATCATTTCCCAGCCTGTTTCATCTCCTGCAGGTCAGGTGTATACCATGGTGCCACGTGGGCTCTGCTAGGCAGGAGAGGACGCTTCGGAGTGATTGTGTCGATTGCCCTGGTCATTTCCCCGTTCCACGAATCAACCGGGACATCAACAGGAGCGCCAGCTTAATCAGCTGGAAAAATCCCCCAGAGCCCTCAGGAATCCGTCTGGATCCATCTTGCTCCGGGGGTGGACCATCTTAATAGGGCCTGCACCCTTCCAGAGGGAGGAAGCAGCCCTGAGTACAAACCTCACGAGGAAGTGGTCTGACCATGACAAAGGAGTTACGGTCAAGTGTCTCACTTCCAGGCCACCCTCTTTCTGTCCCGTTGAGAAACCAGGTCAAGCGTGTGACCTCTTTCATGGGTTGTGCTGGTGACATGTTGAGACAGCCCCATGGCTGCCATGGAAGGCATGAAGTCCTGGGCTTTCCTGGGCAGAACTGCCTCGGCGTGGAGATTGAAGTTCCCCGGGACCAACATCCTGGGGGTCCTCAACACCAGGTCTGAGACGATCTCCGTCAGCTCAGGCAGAGAGTCTGCTGGGCAGGAGGGTGCGCGGTCCACCAGCAGAGTCCCCAATTTGTCTCGATCGCCCAGCACCAGGTACAAGCACTCCAGAACCGGCCTCGAGGGAACAGGGAGCCTCACAAGGGAAGTTGAGTCTCGATAAATTCCAGGTTTTGTCTACCACCTGCAGGTGAAGGTGGGAAAGACCCTATTTGAAACCCGGAAGCCACTGCCACTCTGTGTAGGCAACCCAGAGACAACCAAACCCTCCTTAGAAAGTAGGGCATTATGTGTGGCGCAAAGAGACATGGAGGAGCAGAGGTCTTTGGTTTTGCATGCCCTGTTCGGAAATGCATAGGAACCTCTAAAAGGTTCTGTGTTCCTATGGCTGATACCTCCTTTTTTCTGTTTTCAGCTTGAAAATTACTTCTCTAGTCTGAAAAATCCAAAACTCAGGGTAAGTGAGGTTCTTGGCAACAAAATGTGTGGCTCAAAACAGATGAAGCAACACATTGTGCCAGGGTTGGGGTTGTGCCTGAGAGACCCTCCAGGCATTGATGGGAAGAGCAGTCCATCAATGCGTCCCAGCCAGGACCGAGTGCTGCCCCCAGAAACACATTTCTGGCCAGTGCAGGCTTGGTGCTGGGCGCTTTGTTTGCCGTCCTCAGTCCCAGAAGAGCCTGCACAAGCGATACTTTTTCAAGGCACAGTGGCCATTTCTTCACCGTGGTTTCTGTGCATTCACACATTATGGGTGCTGTGCCTGCACAGCTCCTGTTGCCAGGAAGATTTTACAGCTTTCTCGGTTTCTGGCGGGAACTCCGCACCCCCTCTTTCCGCACCCCGCCTCGTAGGAACCCCGCCCTTTCCCCAGTCTGCTTTCGACCGCCATTCTCTGTGGCTCAGGGTTCTTGGCTTATCTCATTGCTTTGTCTCTCAATAACGCTTTTACTCTAATTGTCTTTCTCTAGTTCCTTCACTTCACTTTCCGTGATACTTGCCCCTTACTCATCCCTCGTTCGCGTCTTCCTATGATCCTCCATTTTCTCCCCTGCAACTAGTATCTCCAAAAAACAAAACAACAAAAAAACACCTTCTATCATCGTCTTAGCTTGTTGACTGTCCTCTTATTCTTCTTGATGGCACAGCAGACGGCTTTTCACAAGTGCACCCAGTGCGGAGCAAAAATGTCTCCAACTGATCCACACCCTCTCTGTCTTCTCTGCCTCGGAGAGGGCCATCAGATGGACAGGTGCGTCCATTGCCATTCCTTTACCCAGCAAGCTAGAAACAACCAGGAGAACCAATTAAAGAAGATGGTCTGGGATCAGACTCTCCCGGCAGCTCCCTCCACTGCCTTTCCCACTTCTGCAAAGAGCGTCCCCTCTTGTTCCTCTCAGGGGGAGAGCCTCAGTACTGACAGCAAGCGCGCCACTCGGTCTCCCTCTCCCAGGAAAAGAAAGGAGAAGAAGAAACACACTGAAACTGAGGGGGCTGCTGAAGTTAAGTGTCCCAAGAAGGGCAGATCCGAGTGCCATGATGAGAAGCAACCTCGCATGCCCCAGCAGGGTCCACCTACTCTGCCGATGACGTTGGTGCCATCATTGCTGTCGGGTCAACAGACCGCTGTGCAGGTGACACCACCATCATCACCAGCTCCCACAGCACCCTCTTCTTGCTCCAGTCCAGAAAGCTCAGAACTGTTGTCTTGGTCTTCAATTTCTGATGGGGAGATTTGCGAAACATCCCCACCATGGGGTCCGGACCGTGAGACTGCTAGATCTGTCTGCACGCCACGTGGCCATTCATCGCAAGAGGGGTCTCCAGGAGCCACCCAGAGCCCACTGGCATTTCTTCTGGAACAGGCACCTGATCGACGGCCATCTAGATACTGGGTGCCATTACCATACAGAGATTTCAATCCCGATCAACTGGAGCAAGCTTACCCGTGGAATTACTGCCCACCATACAGTTACCCTTGCCCACCATCACCAATGCACTGCCGACAATCTCCACTTCCTTCAACATCTAGGAGCGTGCCATCCACAGCGGCTGCAGCCATGACTGAACCTGATTGGTCTCCTGCCAGTTCTTCTTCCTCGAGCCCTTCCTACCCTTCTGATTCGGACTCGGAGGAATCTGAACAGACTGCTGCATCCCCTGGCCTGGTAATCTCTACTCAAGGCCTGGGATTGCCTGGTTACAGTCTGGGTCGCTTCTCTGAGCTCATGGCCAGTATGTCATCCTCCCTCGGGATCGACAACCAGCAGCACGTCAGTCCTGACCAGGACAACATCTATGATGTCACCGAGATGAAGGATAGGGTCACAGTAGCACTGCCATTCATATCGACGCTTCGTCAAGCTATGATGGAGTCCTGGCAGCTCCCCAACCAAACTCACCCGACCTCCCAGCACCTTGAGTTGATGTACAAAGTCAGGGAGCAGGACATCCCATTCCTGCTACGACATCCGCAGCCAAATTCCGTCGTCACTGAGTCCACTCAAGGCCATCAGTCCCAAGAGCACTCCACACCAACGGATCATGAGGGGAGGAAGATTGACCTGCTGTCTCGCCGGATCTACTCCGCCGTGGGACTCGGTCTTCGCATCTCCAACTACGAAGCCACAATGGCACGCTATCAATACTTTTTGTGGCAGAAGATGGAAACCCTTGCTGAATTCCTCCCGGACCAGCAGAGAGGACTGGCCCAAAGCTACATTGAGAAGGCAATGCGGCTTTCTAAGCAACAACTGGTCACAGCGAGGCACCATGTTGATTGTGACTCGAGGGCGCTTGTTGGTGCGGTGGTTCTCCGGCGCCATGCCTGGTTGCGAGCTGACAACCTCCCGCAAGAAACGAAGCAGCACATGGAGAATATGCCCTTTGATGGCACAGGTCTTTTCCACTCAAAGACCCACAACAAGCTGGACTCCATCCGCAAAGCTCACTTCACTGCTCGCAAGAGGAGAAGGGCTTTTGCACAGACAAAACGTAAGTGGTCCATGAACAAGCCTACCCAATTCTGACTCTGCCAACCCTATCATGAAGGCTACACCGCAGGATGCCAGGCTTGTCCCCATCACAGCAAAGTGCCCCGCTACCAACAGCCGCAGAGACGCACTGACAACAAACGCCAACGTTGACAGTGTACCTTTCTTTGTTCCTTAAACCCACCTCTCTCTCTTCCTTTTGGGAATAGACTCCAACATCATTTCCCCATCTGGGAGTCCATCACATCTGATTGATGGGTTCTCCCCATTGTACAGCATGGATATAAAATCGAGTTTGAAACTGTGCCTCCTCTTGGTGCGATCTGCTATACAGCAGCCTCACCAGCCCTCCTGGGAGAAGTCACCAAGCTGCTTTGCGAGTGATGCGAAAAGTTGGTCGTTCAGGACTGCACAGTTTCTACTCCAGGTACTTTACGATACTGAAGAGACATGGGGCCGTTTGCCCCATTCTGCCTTTACGTGGAGTTAAAAAATTCATCAAAACCAAGAAATTCAGAATGACCATGCTCCAGAATATCCTTCCATTGCTCGGGAAAGAGGATTTCTTCACATCCTTGGACCTGAAAGATGCTTACTTTCATATAAGCATCCACCCTGCTCACAGGCGCCTACTGAGATTTACAGTTGGTAGGTACTGAGGCCTGTGAATACAACATCCTTCCCTTTGGCCTCGCAACTGCTCTGAGGGTGTTCACAAAATGCACGGCCCCAGTTTGTGCCTACCTCAGGCTTCCAGGAGTACAAACCTACCCCTACCTGGATGATTGGCTCCTCTTTTCCTCCTCTAGAGTGGACTTCTTAGCCTCCATCAAGACTACCTGCTCTCAGCTTGATCAACTGGGACTATACTTAAACAATGCGAAGTCATGCCTTGTTTCTTTCTAGCTCATCAGTTCCATTGAAGCGGCCTGGACTCACTTCGTACACCAGCTTTCCTCCCACTGGATTGACTCCAAAGTCTGAAATGTTTTGCGAGCTGCCGCACCGCAAGACGGACTGTCCCAGCGCATTCCATTCAATGGGTGCTTGGTCACATGGTGCCTGTGGTATCGGTGGTGCCGAAAGCAAGGCTGCGGGTGAGACCCGCTCCAACTGTGGTTCAACCGCAGCGCGATCTACTGGACCAACCACTGCAACCTCCACGTTCAGTCCTTCGAACTCTATCCTGGTGGACAATCGACACCAGCCTGACTCGCAGGGAACTGTTCCAAACACTGGAACCGACTGTGACGCTCTATACTGACGCCTCCCTGACTGGATGGGGTGTGCACTGCGCCGCACTCCATACCCAGGGCATCTGGCACAGCCACGAAACAACCAGGCATATCAATTACCTGGAGTTGCTGGCTGTATTCAAGGCACTACGTTCTTTTCAAACTCTCCTATAAGGACACATTGTACAAATTGCATCGGACAATATCATGACCGTGTTTTATATCAACAAGCAGGGAGGAACAAGATCAGTCCCGTTGGCATGTCTTACTCTTCGAATTTGGAACTGGGGCATCGCTTACGAGATCATCCTGCAAGCTGTTCATCTTGCCGGCACCGAGAATGAAGAAACCGATTCCCTGAGCAGACACATGTCTGCTCATGATGCATGAGTGGGAGCTGGACCGTCACGTCTGCCACCATCTTTTTTGAACTGTGGGGAACACCAACTGTAGACCTCTTCACCACTCACAGGAACTCAGTCTGCACAACCTTCCAAGGTTCAATTTGGATGCCAGGAAGCACTTCCCGACAGTTAGGACCCCGAGGGTGTGGAATGGACTTCCCCGGGAGGTGGTTGAGGCCCCATTGCTGAGGGTGTTCAAGGATAGGCTGGACGTGCACATGGTGGGCATGTCGTGAGCGGAGCTGGCTGGAGCCTGGGGTCAGACTAGATGGCCCAGGAGACCCTTTCTGACTTGCTCTGTTTCTATGTTTTTATGTTTCATTCTATTGCTCCTGAGTGAGTATTGGCCCAAATTCCATCGGGGATGCCCTCATGGTCTCATGGGAGAATAAAACTTTCTATGCATTCCCACTGATCCCCTAATCACAAGGACATTAGCGAAGATCTATCAGGACAATGCTCATGGCATTTTGATCACCCCATGGTGGCCCCGACATTCATGGTTCCCCGCTCTGTTTCAACTATCCAAGCATGTTTACTTCGCTCTACTTCAGATCCCACAGCTCCTCACCCAAGAGCAAGGCACTATATGTCACCCAGACCAACACTTTCTGAAACTCACGACATGGCTCATCCAATGATTTCTACACATTCAACCTCCTCGGTACTGACATAATCTTCGGGACTGACAAGATCGACTCCCTTGGAATTGCCTCTTCCATTGCTACCGGAGATACCTTTTTCAACACTGACTGTCCCATCCATGTCAACATCATTTTTGACACCAACACTTCCCTCGGTGCTGACATCCACTTCGGAACTGACAACACGTTTGGATTTGACGGACCTTCACCCGGACATCCAATTTATACTGCAATCTGCACTGTAGCCCGATACACAACATTCCTACAGTGCTAAATGGAAACTTTTCACCTGCTTTGCTGCTATCAACCATTTTTTGCCTCAATCTGCTACCATTGAGAACATTTTACAATTCTTACTGTAGTTACACCATGGGAGTCTCAGACCATCCTCCATTAAGGTGTATATTGCAGCCATTTTGCATACATTGAAGATTCATCCATGTTCTCCCACCAACTCATGGTGGGAGGGTTGTCGCTTTTTATGAGGATTACAAAACCTTCAACCTCCGATCAGTTGTCCCGACATGGAGTCTTGCTGTCATTCTACAGACTCTGACTAAGCCACCATTTGAACCCATGGCCACAGTCGACCTTCAGCTGCTCTTTTGGAAAACTGCTTTCCACGTCAGCAAGGAGGAACTGTGTGCTCTACGGGTCAACCCTCCATATCAATTTTAATAAAAGGAGGTGACTTTTTGCACGGACCCAACCTTTTTTCTGAAAGTGGCAACACCTCTTCATCTTGATTGAGACATCGTCTTACCAGCATATTTTCCTTCACCGTTGACACCGATCGAACACTCTGACATAGTCTCACCGTCTGTTGAAATGGATCATGGAAACGATTGAACTTCCTTGCCATCTGGCCACACTGGGCTTGCTGATTGCTTCAAAAGGACCTTCTGCGAGAGCCATCACCGCTTCTTCTGCTCTGCGGGCAGACATTCTGGTCCACGACATTCGCAAAGCTGCCACCTGGTCGACTCCATGCACCTTCGTGAGATGCTGCCACTCAGACATCAGGGCCAGACAGGACTGTTCCTTCGGCCGCGCCGTCTTATCAGCTGTTCTCCAGAGATGACACCGTACTGCCTCCGGGTGGGGTAAGCCTGCTAGTCGCCCATAGATGTGTGATGCACACAGATCACGATGAAGAAAGGCAGGTTGCTTACCAGTAACTGTCATTCTTGAATCGTCATCTGTGCATTCACACAGCCCACCCACCGGCCCCACTTCGGTGTCGGTGACTGGGTACATACAAGTTTTTATTTTACAAGTCTCCTTTAAATCATTGTACTTCGGCTTTCCCTTGCTGGTTTCAGCTGGGGGCAAACGGGGTCTTCAGCTGACTGGCAAAAGGGTGGGGACTCCGCCCCTTTATACTGGGGAGAAGGGGTGTGAGTTCCCGCCAGAAAGCATTAAAGCTGTAAAATCTTCCCGGCTACAGGCACTGTGCAGGCGCAGCACCCATAATGTGTGAATGCACAGATGGCCACTTGAAGAACGACAGTTACAGGTAAGCAACCTGCCTTTCTTATGCCCCCCAGTCCAGACTACCTGAACGGGTGGGAAAAAAATCTTCCTCTTCCATGTGCCACTTCCCCTCAGTTTCTCCTCTCCCATTCTCTGCAGGAGGAACAAGAGGCAGCTAGGCGCCGACAGCAAAGAGAAAACAAGAGTAACACGACAACTCCAACAAAGGTCCAAGAGAACAAGGTTTGAGTCCACAGATGTTGTGCGCTTACCTCGTCCAGCATACCAGGCCTGCTTTGTGTGCTGGTTGTGAATGGGGGCAGCAGGCTCTTGTCACAGAAAAAGCACAACAGGCCCTGTTGATTCACAGGAGGGGCACAAATTCAGGTTCACAGTAAGGGGTTGCCGGGAAAATGCCCCAGAATAGTGAGTGAGTGTTAAGCTTCTTCAGAACTGTGCCTCAGGCTGGTCCTTAAGCACAATTGCTGGAGTCTTTTCTGGGTGAGGGCCCTGCTCTGATCTTGAAGCTGCAGAGCCTGATGTTGTAATAGCCCAAGGGGGAGCTGGGGGACACCTGGCCAGCTGAACAGCACTGAGCAATAGAAATGAGCTTGCCTCCTTGTCTCGAAAAGGACTATGGTGCTGAAGAAGAGAAGCCCCTGGGATCCAGTGCTGTGAAAAAGCCATCTCCGTCCAAAGCACGTAAGAAGAAGCTGAGCAAAAAGGGAAGGAAAATGGCAGGCAGGAAGCGCGGGCGCCCCAAGAAAATGAACATCGTGAGTGCGGAGCGCAAGACCAAGAAGAACCAAACTGCGCTGGAACTTCTGCATGCGCAGACTGTATCCCAAGCATGTTCATCCTCTCCTCAGGGTAAGGCCCAGCTTTGAATCCCTCTGCATGGGCCTCAGCTGGCTAGCTGGAAAGGAGCAAGTCCCGTCCCGTCCATCAGACATGCACTGCCTCTTGTGCAGATGGAACCAGTCTTTGTATTCTGTAAATGAACCATTCGACTTCATAGAGTAGGTGGGCAGCTTGAACGGAGTGTAGAAAGCGATTGCCTGGGTTCACCCAGTGCGATGACTCACATGGGCCACGCCGGGCTGCTCTGCCATCTTGAACCTGGCCAGCCAACTAACGTTGGCAGAAGCAACAGAAACTCCTTGCTCTTCTCGTCAAACCCCACCAGTGCCCAAGCAGCGTGCTGGAGTGGCTGTTGCTGCTGTGATCACAGGCTCTCCCTGCAACCTCACACTCCCCACTATTTTCCCTCTGGAGAGTGCTTTCTGCCATCTCAGGTGACAGCCCGTGATCACCTTCTAGAGTGCCCAAGCGGCCACTGGAGGGGTTGTCACTGGCTTGCTCCCTCTCTTTTGTATGCAAGATGTGCACACAAGTGCTTTTCAAAAGCACGTTTTACTTGGTCTTGTTCAAGCAGGGGAGTGTGGCCTTTCACAGCAGCTCAGCAAGGGCCTGGCAGGTGTGTGCTGCCAAACGGTGGCAGGTACTACTCCTGGACGTTGGCCCAAAGAGTCTGGAAATAGGTACACTTTGTAGTTTGCAGTCTCCTGACAGCTGTCAGGAGAAAACAAATACAATTTTTATTCACAAAAGTGGGGTGATAAGCATATCACCCCCCTTGTGGTGAGATTGTCCAGGCTGTTTGGTTGCACCCAACTCTTCTTTATGTCCTGCACTTTCTTCTACCCTTTCCCAAGTTTCTATTTCTAAAGGTGGAAAAGTGCAGGCCACCTTGTTTATGAGACCTGCCAGTTTTGGCAGGAGCTGCTTAAACTCTAGCTTCCTTTTCAAATAGCACTCTTCACAGGGCCAATCATAGTTTTTGATAGGAAAATACACATATGTATGTATGTTTGTTTCATTCCATTTCTATGCTCCCCCATAACCCAAAGGTTCTGTAATACGTGCATATTACACATGAACACACCCACTTTATCAGGATGGAGGAATGGTTTCAGATATGTCCCTACTTTAATTCTCCATCTAGTGGAACAGATCCAATCCAATTTTGTTTTTTAAAATCAGATAATTTACATCCCTTGTGAGCATTCAGGTAGCATCTTGAAACTCACCAGGTTTCATCCAAAGCATGAGCCTGGCCATGGCCTTGGCCTTGTCCACGAGCCCCTTTCTGGGAGCCCTGACTCTCCCTGCAGTGAGGTGACTTTGACACATTTCTGGTGTTAGGTGGGAACCTTTCCTTTCCCTGCGCCTCTTCATCTGTGTTGGGAACGTTCCCTTGCTTTGCCTGATTCCTGCCGCTCTCTGATGTGGTTTGCATCAGGGTCTGTGGTCCTACTTTCTCTGGATTGGTCTTATTTTTAAGCCATGCTGGGCATGTTTGTGTGGAACGGCAGGCAGAAATCAGTCCTCTTCAGGTGGCCAAAAGAGGCTCTGAACCAAAGCAAGATGCCTAATATGCCGGGATTGTCTTTCTGTGCAGATGCATACAGGTCTCCTCGTAGTCCATTTTACCAACTACCTCCTAAAGTGCAGCGGCATTCGTCAAACCAGCTGTTGGTGACTCCCACCCCACCTGCACTACAGAAGCTGCTAGGTAAGGTGGTCTCTTCCCCCGGATGGGCAGGCAGCATCCCTCGTACGAACTGCGTGTTGCTTGGGCACCCATCTGCCTGCCTTACCTGCTTTCCAAACTCTTCCTGAGGTCCCTTGTTTGTGCTACGGGGACCGTGCTTCTTTTTATATGTGAGGACGCAAATTGGTTCCTTCCACTGTGTTCAGAAAGAATTGGCAAGGCTGGGTGGCCACCTTTGGAAGGTTGCAGGGCCTGGCTGGGGACCAAAGACAAAGTTCCATTGGAAGGGAAATGGTCATAAGAAGGGCTGTTTGAATCCAGACTGGGGTGGGCAGACCTTCAAGCTTGTGGGACCCACTATTATGTTTGATCAGTACTCTGTGCTCCCTTGACAGGAGACTAGTGCAAAACTGTGGCATGGTGTGGTGGAAGGTACAGTGAAGGAACTGGCTACCTTTGAGGACAGCCTGGAAATTTGCTTTCAGTCCCAGCACTCATTCTTTCATGCAAAAATCCATTTCTGGTCTTCTCTTTTGCCATCCTGATAAACATGTTTCAGCACTCTGATTTAGAAGCGAAGAGGCTTTTGTTGTTGGTACTGTGAGTGAGCAGCCTTCAACAACCTGTTGGAAGATCCTTATATACTTTCTGCCTGCCCCAGATCTGGGATACAGCACTGTGGGGCCAGTAGGGCAATATACCGTAACATTTGGGCCTTTTCTGGGACTGTGAGCCATTTACGGTTGGGCTGCAGCTGCATCAGGCCAGGGAAATTCCAGCAGTCATCTCTTGGGAGGTAGCAGATGGAGGAGTGAAAGTTTACACCTCCTTTCTTTGCAGCTCCTGCTGCAGGAACAAGGCTGTGTTTAACATAAGCCCCCCTAAAACACGCAGTGGCATTGGCCGTGGCGGGGAAATGATTCTGCTGCCACCAGCAGAGCTTGTGCAGAGCGGTGACTTCCGGGATGCAAGGCTGGCTGTTCATGTTTTCCTGTCCCCTCTTTGGTCTTGCAGACTCATTTAAGTTCCAGTACATGCAGTTCCTGGCCTATATGAAGACTCCTCAGTACAAGGCCAACCTTCAGCAGTTGTTGGAACAGGAGAAGGTAGGCCTCTGTCAAAAGGGGTGCTAGAGGATAGGCAGGGGATTCCAGGCAGGTCCAGGGAGGCTCTGCTTGGCCCGGGGGACAGTTTTAGGCAGTTCGTGGACAGCGCACGAGCTGTGCTGATGGCCACTGGCCCTGAGAGCCCGTCATACGTTTGGCCTTGTGTCACCAGCTCTCTCGTTGGAGCATTCGGTGCCTTTCCTTTTTGGAATTGGAGCCGGCCTCGAACATAAGAACGATCAAGCTAAATAGCCCCTTGCCCAGCTTCCCATTTCCTGCAGTGCCCTGCCAGGCACATCCAAGAAGCTGTCCTTCCTCGTTTGTCCCCACAGTGAGCAGTTGGGGGCAGAGTGCTCTGGCACGTGGAGGTTCCTGTGAGCTGACAGCCATTGGCAGAGTCTGCCCCCCTCCATTGATTTGCCTAAGCCATTTCTGCGGCGATCAGTCTGCAGCCTGGGTGGAATCAGCGTCCATGTGGTCATGTTGTGGCCTTCTCTCCCCGCCCCTCCCTTTCCAGGAGAAGAATACCCAGCTATTGGGGAAGGCCCAGCAGCTGTTCACTCACTGCCAGGCTCAGAAAGAAGAAATCAAGCGGCTGTTCCAGCAGAAGCTTGATGAGGTACAAGAAAGAAGTGTGCACTCTCCCTCTATTCCTCCCTCTCTCTGTGTGTGGGAGATCAGCAAGATGAAAAGCAAATGGGGTGTCTGGGGATGCAGACTGAGGTGGGCTTGGCAATAATGCAAGCTGTGCCATAGCCGGAACCCCGTGTTGTAGCCACTGAAATAAGTCCAGCTCTGTGTGCTTTGAGTTCCTTGTCTCTGGGAGAGCAGACTGGGCTTTGGTGCTAACCCTCAACCCAGGAGTGAAATGAAATTGGCATTCAAGGACAGGCAGTGGGATGAGAGGCAGTAGGTAGGTGCAAATTATCCTAGTCATGGGAGACTTGATTTGGTTGTTTTTTCCTGTTTAGGGAAGGGCAGTAGGAAATTTAATTAAAATTATGTTTTTTGGCCTTGGCATAACACCCATCAGACATCTGACATGAACAGGTGCGGGTAAGAGGATAGGGTAAGATTTAAAATGCTAAGGTATGGATTTGTTGGCCATGTAAGATGACTCTTGTTTATGCTGCACAGGAAGAGGTTGATGCTGATGGCTATCTCTGTATTAGAATATGGCCTTGTCACATCAGTGTACCAAAATCCTTTGTAATGAAAGAGGAAGAGCTGCATCATGTCACCCTGGAAACTTTGCCTGGAAAGGGTGATAGAGAATCACTTAACTTTGCAAGAACAAACTAAGAGCAGATCACAGAACTGCAAATCATAATCTTTTCCATTCATTTCAAAAGAGTCTGATGGCACTATAAATCCACTTTCTGCATAGGCAGTGTTTGTCTCCAGACTGGTAATGGTAATGTTAAAGCAGTGTTTCATATTTACTGCGAAGTCGACACTACCAGTGGCCATAATTTGTGCACACTCTCAGATTCCAGTCTTTAGAATGAGCAGAAACCATGTGACAAGTCCTTTTACGAGCCACAACACGGGAACCAGCTGTGAGGTTGGATGGAACAGGTTGATCACACCGTTCCATGGTCTTGAAGGGCACATGGGAAGGGGGTAATGCTTTTTTTAAAAGGTGTGTCAATCAATCACCACCTATTGTGTTGCTAGGACTGCGCTAGGTTCTAACCACCTTCTGTCCTCTCGATCCACCTCTTCATAGCTGGGTGTCAAGGCACTGACGTACAATGACCTTATCCAAGCTCAGAAAGAGATTTCGGCTCACAACCAACAGCTGAAGGAACAGAGCAAACAGTTGGAGAAGGACAATGGCGAGCTCAGGAACCAGAGTTTACAGCTGGTGGGTACCTCCAACTCAGCCAAGCCAGTGCTTCAGCTTGTGGAAGAAGATGTGTGTTGGTTTGTACAGCTCAACCAAATAGTAAAGCTTCTTCCTGGGACTCAAAATCAGTTGCTGATTCCCCTTTTTCCTTAACTGCACAGAAAGCAGTTCTTCACCGCCTTCCCAGTGTGACTTATAACAGAAGTTCTTTTGATCTTTGGCAAACCTTTCTCCTCCAAAAGCCTCAGGATTGGAAAGGGGGCATAGCTTAGGGGTGGAACATAGACTTTGCATGCAGGAGACCCCAGTTCAATTCCTGTTGCCCCAGTTCAATTCCCGTTGGTTCACTTTTTTAAAAAAATAAGGGAGCCAGTAGTGGGAATGCTTCTTGTCCTGCCTGTATGAAGAGTTGCTGGTGGGAAGAGCAGTCAGTGGCAGGGAAGGTGGACCTGTGGTCTAACTCTGCAAGACAAGTTAAGTTTGTGAAGGAAGATCTGCAGCTGGTCTTGTCTGCTTTTGATCATAGTGCAGTGGTAGGACAACCAACCAACAACAGATTAGGGTTAATCAGCCCCTAAATGGTGCTCCGGGTTCACATGTTACAATCAACCTGTCTCAGTTCATGGGTTGTTTAACCCATGGGCTGTCATTACACTACGAGGCCCTGTGAGCTTTCATTGCTGAAGATGGGAACTTAGCTCCTTGGTCTGAATCAGATGCTTTAGATGCAAGATGTGTTGGGCTGCAGTTCTCATCATTCACAACCAGCATCAGTGCCATGCTGGCTAAGAGTGATGGTAGGTGCTGTCCAACCTAGGTAGTGCAGGCTGTGGGAGAAGGTAAATTTGAAGACTCGTGCAGTCTAGAGCAGCCTCCTGGGGTTAGTGATTTAAATGTATCCGAGCAGTCTGTTAAATGCACTCCGATTCCTTGCTTAACCCACTGGAGGGGAGAACCCTGACATCTTCCCCTGTTTCTCTCTCCCACCTGCATCCTTCCAGCTGAAGGCCAGATGTGAAGAACTGAAGCTAGACTGGTCAACCCTTTCACTGGAGAATCTGCTCAAAGAAAAGCAAGCACTGAAGAATCAGATTTCTGAAAAACAAAAGCATTGCTTGGAATTGCAGGTAAGTGTGCTGGCCGAGCGTAGCCACTCCCTTCCCCCATTATTCCTGGATTCTGCTTGCTCGGAGGATATGGATTCCTTGTTGCACAGCACTGGGAGAGTAACTGCAGCGGCGGTGTTAATAGATGCTGGCCAAGAGTGTGATTGTGCTTTCCTTCTTATAGATCTGTTGTCTGTGTGTAAATACAAAAGCTGAATCCAAAACTTCCTGGAAAAGGATGCCGGACAAATATTCTGAGTAGCACCTCCAAACTTGATGCGGGGACTTATTGGGTCTGTCTTGTTGCTGTACATAGAAACTCCATATTTCCTTCAGTGGGGAAGATTATCTGGAAGGAGAACCTTGCCTTGAAGGCAGGGCTGTGCCAGTTACTATATAGTATGGCCCTTATTCCTGAGAGGAGCCTGCACGTTTCCTCCTTGCTTCAGAGTAACAAGGTTTTCTTTGAACTTTCTGGGACTCTCTCCCCCTCTCCCCCCACTCCCCCACATACACACTTTGCCTGCTGCTTGTCTAACATTTGCTGTAGTAGCAGGAATGCTTGGCTGGTTTGCAGCCAAAAAGGCCAGTAAATGGTTCAGGCCACTTGCCTGTTTTGTGGTGATTTGTGTCCATTTCAGGCTTCTGTAGAGACTTCTTACTGCATGCTGTTGTTAGTTGCGAAGTTGCGTCTGACCTATCACTGATCCATGGACAACATTCCTCCAGGCTCTCCTGTCCTTCACCATCTCCTGGAGTCCACCCAAGCCCATACCCACCGCCCCAGTGACCCCATCCATCTGCCATCAATCGTTCCGAGCATCAGGGTCTTCTCCAGTGAGTTGTTTCTTCTCCTTAGGTGGCCAAAGTATTTGAGTTTCATCTTCAGCATCTGGCCTTCTAAAGAGCAGTCAGGGTTGATCTCCTCTAGGACTGACCGGTTTGATCGCCTTGTGATCCAAGGGACTCTCAGGCACCTCCTCCAGCACCACAGTTCAAAGGCCTCAACTCTTTGGTACTCAGCCTTCCTTATGGTCCAGCTTTCACAGCCGTGCATTGCCACTGGGAAAACCATTGCCTTGACTATACGCACTTCTGTCAGCAGGGTAATGTCTCTGCTTTTTAGTATGCTGTCTAGATTTCTGTCTGATGCTGTCAAGGAGCAAGCGACTTTTAATTTCTTGGCTGCAGTCACCGTCTGTGGTGATCTTGGAGCCCAGGAAAATAAAATCTGTCACTATCTCCATTTCCTCCCTATCTATTTGCCAGAAGTGAGAGGACCGGATGCCATGATCTTAGTTTTCTTAATACTGCATTTCAAGCCAACTTTTGTGCTCTCCTCTTTCACCCCCATCAAGAGGCTCTTTAATTCCTCTTCACTTTCTGCCATGAGAGTGGTATCATCTGCATATCTGAGGTTGTTGATATTTCTCCCAGCAATCTTAATTCCAACTGGTGATTCATTTACCCCCGCCTTTCCCATGATGTGCTCTGCATATAAGTTAAATAGGCAGGACAACAGTATACAGCCTTGCCGAACTCCTTTCTCAGTTTTGAACCAATCAGTGGTTCCGTGTCCAGTTCTCACTGTTGCTTCTTGACCCACATACAGGTTTCTCAAGAGACAAATAAGATGGTCAGGTACTCCCATCTCTTTAAGAACTTGCCACAATTTGTTGTGATACATACAATCAAAAGCATTAGTGTAGTCAATGAAGCAGAAGTAGATTTTTTTTGGAACTTCCTAGCTTTCTGCATGATCCAGCATATGTTGGCAATTTGATCTCTAGTTCCTCTACCTCTTTGAAACCCTGTCTGTACTTCTGGTAGTTCTCGGTCCACATACTGCTGGAGCCTAGCTTGTAGGATTTTGAGCATATCTTTGCTAGCATGCGAAATGAGTGCAATGGTGCGGTAGTTCACATATTCTTTGGCATTGCCGTTCTTTAGGATTGGAATGTAAACTAACCTTTTTCAATCCTGTGGCCACTGTTGAGTTTTCCAAATTTGCTGGCATATTGACTGTAGCACTTTAATTACATCATCTTTTAGGATGTTGAATAGCTCTGCTGGAATACTGTTGCCTCCACTAGCTTTGTTGTTGCTCAGACTTCCTAAGGCCCATTGAATTCACATTCCAGGATGTCTGACTCGAGGTCAGCAACCACCCCATCGTGGTTATCAGGGACATTAAGCGCTTTCTTGTATAATTCTTCTGTGTAATCTTGCCACCTCTTCCTAATCTCATCTGTTTCTGATAGGTCCCTGCCATTTTTGTCCTTTATCATGCTTATTTTGCATGAAACATTCCCTTGATATCTCCAATTTTTTTGAAGAGATCTCTAGTCTTTCCCATGCTGTTGTTTTCCTCTATTTCTTTGCACTTTTCATCTCATCTCTTCTAGGTAGTCTCTGGAATTCTGCATTCAATTGAGTGTATCTTTCCCTCTCTCCCTTGCCTTTCGCTTCCCTTCTTTCCTCAGCAATTTGTAAAATTTCCCCAGACAGCCATTTTGCTTTCTTGCATTTCTTTTTCTTTGGGATGGTTTTAGTTGCTTCCTCTTGTATGATGTTGTGAACCTCTGTCCATAGTTCTTCGCGCACTCTGTCAATCAGATCTAATTCCTTAAATCTATTTGTCAAACCTACTGTATATTCATAAGGGATATGATTTAGGTCATACCTGAGTGGCCTAGTGCTTTTCCCTACTTTCTTCAATTTAAGCCTAAATTTTGCGACAAGAAGCTCATGATCTGAGCCACAGTCAGCTCCTGGTCTTGTTTTTACTGACTGGATAGAGTTTCTCCCTCTTTGGCTGCAGAGCACATAGTCTATCTGATTTTGGTGTTGACCGTCTGGTGATGTCCATGTGTAGAGTTGTCTCTTGGGTTGTTGGAAAAGAGTGTTTGCTATGACCATCATATTCTCTTGACAAAATTCTACCAGCCTGTGCCCTGCTTCATTTTGTACTCCAGGGCCAAACTTGCCTGTCATTCCGATTATCTTTTGGCTTCCCAGTTTAGCATTCCCCATGATGATAAGAACATCATTTTTTGGTATTAATTCTAGAAGGTGTTTTAGATCTTCATAGAACTGGTCAAATGTCAGCCTCTTCGGCATCAGTGCTTGTGGCTTAGAGTTGGACTACTGTGATGTTGAATGTTTTGCCTTGGATTCGAACTGAGATCATTCTGTCATTTTGGAGATTGTATCCCAGGACTGCTTTTCCTACTCTTTTATTGACTATGAAGGCTACTCCATTTCTTCTGAGGGATTCTTGCCCGCAGTAGGATACCTGATGGTCATCTGAATTAAATCCACCCATTCCTGTCCATTTTAGTTCACTGATTCCTAAGATGTCGAGTTCAGTCTTGTCATCTCTTGTTTGACCACATCCAGCTTGCCTTGATTCATGGATCTTACATTCCAGGCTCCTATGGAGTATAGATCTTTGCAGCATCGGACTTTCCTTTCACCACCAGATACATCCGCAGCTGAGTGTCCTTTCGGCTTTGACCCAGTCGCTTCACTCTTTCTGGCGCTACTAGTACTGGCCCTCTGCTCTTCCCCAGTAGCATATTGGACACCTTCCGACCTTCCGAGGGGCTCATCTTCCGGCGTCGTATCATTTTGCCTTTTGGTGCTGTCCATGGGGTTTTCATGGCAAGGGTCCTGGAGTGGGTTGCCATTTCCTTCTCCAGTGGATCAGCTTTTGCCAGAGCTCTCTGCTATGCCCTGTCCGTCTTGGATGGCCCTGCACAGCATCGCTCATCGCTTCATTGCACTGCGCAAGCCCCTTCGCCACAGCAAGGCAGTGATCCGTGAAGGGCTCTCTTCTGCTATGGAAGGCTAAGATCATGGCACAAGCATGATTAGGCTGTGGTTGGCTTCCTTAGCCGTTTCACCTGTAGTCCTAGTCGTGTGTGTTTGCTACAGAGGCAAAACGGGCTTCTGCGTCCCACAGATACTCCTGCTGCAGTGGGGACCAGACCTTCGTGTGACTGCAGCCTGGGGGGCAGGATTCAGCCATGGGCCAGGTCTTGGACAGGGAGCGTGTGGATGAAGTGTCACGGAGAAACCAGGCAGGAGTGGTCAGGACTGTGCAAAGCTCCAGGCTGCAAGCCCTGCCCCTGCAACAGCCCTCCGAGTGATGCTGACCCCCGAGTGAGAGCATGGGTGCGCTTAGCCTAGCCAGCCCCACATCCATAGCCACTGAGGCAGTGTCTCTTTTTCTAAAAAGAACATATTTTCTGAACATACACAAATACATAAAAAGAATATAAAACAGATCAAACTAAAATAAATAAAGTAAGCAAAGTGGCCAAGGGACTGTTAAACAAATGCAGCCTATATATTCAGTACCTCAGAACTATCCATCTTTCATCTTTTCATGCTCTTTAAGAGTTTAACAGGAGAAAACCCATTACCCTATGCAGCAACAAGACATCTTACCACTTCAAGCCTTCTACTGCTTTTCCTTTCCTTTTCCAAACTCCTCTCAGCTCCCATTAATCACAGTGAGCATAATTAAATTTCCATTTAATTTCCAAATTGAATTCTTCTAACGATCTTCTATTTACATAGAAGTCGGTTAGCTTTGCCATCACGGCATGTTCTGCTAGTCTGTTTTGCCACTCTTCAATTGTTGGGGGCTCCATTGCTTTCCATTTAGAAGTAGTTGTGATCCTCGTTGCCATTGTCATATGCTGGAATCCCTCTGACATATTTTTTGAAAGGCTCTCCGGCACTGCATTCAAAAGCACATTCTTGGGACTCGTTGGAAACGTAGTCTTGGAAAATTTCTGCATTTCCAGATGTATCAATTCCTTTTTTTTTTTTTTTTGTTATTTTGCAAGTCCATCACATAGAATAGCACCCGCCCTGCTACATTTCCAACATTTTCCATTTCAATTCTTGTCTATTTTTGCAATATCTTTTGGTGTGATATACCACCGATAAAACATTTTGTACTAATTTTCTCTTAATGTTATACTAAGTACTGAATTTAATATCTTTCTAACAGAGTTTCTGACATGATATTTCTTCTCCAATGCTCTGTTTCCAAATTAACATACATTTCTTATCTTGATGGCTTTCAGTATCTTAATGTAATAATTGAGAGTCTTCTCAGTAAGTGATCACTGTATTGTGTAATCAGTTTTTCCAAATCAGCCAGATCTCCTAAAATACCTTCTAATTGTATTTCCCCTTTCAGTCTTGAAATCAGTTGATGATAAACAAGCCACTGTATATTTTTCCCTTCATCTTTCGATTGTTGCCAGGATTTGACTTGTCCTGATTGATCAATGGCATCTCGATAAATGACAGGATCATTATTTCTCCTTAAATATTTTCCATATGCTTCAACTGGGGACATCAAAGGGAAGATCGGAGGACTATTTTTCCTTATGGAGAACCAGTTTTTAATTAAACTTCCTCTTAAGATGTTGTTGTTTAATATTAAGGCCTTCTTAACAGACTCTTCAACCCATAGAAGATTATGTACTCCATCTTGAAGTTCAACTGTTTCTAACTTCACTTGCCCATCGCTGCCATTTATAGTGCATTCTGCAATGGAAAGCAGGCTTACTGCACAATAGTAGAACTTCTAATTAGATACACCAAGGCCTCCTTTCTCCTTTGAATCCTGCAGAGTTTTATATCTAATCCTTGTCTTCTTGCCATTCCAAATAAAAACATTCAATTGTCTCTGCTAGCCTTGGAGAACCTTTTCTGATATCACAGAATTGGTATTATCTGGAAAAGAAAGATCAATTTAGGTAGTACATTAATTTGTATAATCGGAATACTTCATAACCAAGATGTTTTTGAATTAGTCCATTTTGTAAATCTTGTTGGATCTTCACCCAAATTATTTGATAATTATCTTGAAGAAGTGCATTGGCATGCCATGCCATATTTATCCTCAAGTATTTGACTGGATTTGAAGTAATTTCATGTCCTGAATTTTTAATATATATATATATTCTCTTCCTGCTTTGTTACAAATTTTAATATAATTTTTTGTGGGGAGTTGTCTCTTAAAGGAATATGGCCTGTACAGGCTATTTCAGCCTGGGCCAAAACTGGACTGGTCATGACGTGCCCACTTATTTATTTATTTGTTGGATTTATATCTTTCCTTTTCCTTCTTTTTAAAGAACTCAGAGTGGCCTTTATCAGTCTCTCTCTCCTGTTCTCAGCATTATCCCAGTGCAGCAACCCTGTGAGGCAGGCCGGGCTTAGAGTTCATGACTGGCCCAAAATCACTAACTCCATGGCTGAGTGGGGACGCGAACCCAGATCACCTGCATCCCAGACCCATGCTCTTAACCACTATATTGCACAGTTCGTGTCCTTGGGCCTGATTCTGTAGGTGATTGTGTGGCCCTGGATGCAGGGCAGCTGCTCTGTGTTTTCCCGGAGAGCTGGGTCCCAAAAAGCCTTCGGGTGCCTTGCGTCCTTTCCTCAAACTGTTTTTCTTCTGATGCCAAGGGGATGGGATTCTCCAAGGATGAGGGTTTGGGGTCCTGGACCAGTGTCCCCTGGAGGAGAGAGCCACCTAGGAACCCACCTCTTGGGCGAGCTTTAGGAATCATAGAACCATAGAACAGTAGTGTTGGAAGGGTCTATGAAGACTATCTAGTCCACCCTCCTGCTGTTGCAGGACACCAAGTTGCACCACCCCACTCAGGTGGCTGCCCAGTTTCTCCTTGGATGTCTCTAGTGTGGGAGAGCCCAGCACCTCTCCGGGCAGCTGCTTCCACTGTCCTATTGCCCCGGAGGAAGGCAGCAAGCACCCTTTTTCCTTCTGGAAGCAAGGCTGAAAGATGGTACTGGTTGCAGAGGAGACTCACAGACCACAGAATGTGAAGCGCATTTTTCCATAAAGCTGGAAATGAGTGTGATGAGGAGGGATCCAGTGGCAGCAGCACTAACATCTCTCCTGTAACCGGTCTTTTAACCCTTCTCGTTTCCCTTCCTCTTTGGCAGATTAGTATTGTGGAGCTGGAGAAGAGCCAAAGGCAGCAGGAGCTGTTGCAGCTGAAGTCCTGCATGCCACCTGACGAATCGCTGCCAGTGCAGCTGCGCCATAAGAACCCCCTGAGCCGCGAGGCAGAGCCCGATCACGGCACATTCCCCCTGGAGTTTGAGTGCCCCAAGTTCCCGATGCCCCAGTTCAATGGCATGAGCCCCGAGCTGTCCATGAATGGCCACGCCACCTCGTACGAGATCCACCAGGCGCTCGGCAGGCCCTCCTCCAAGCAGAGCACCCCTCAGTACCCTGTTTCTCACCTGGACCAAGACATCGTTCCCTGCACCCCAAACCACAGCTGCAGACAGAAACTGGACAAGACCTCCAGCTTGGCCTTGCCAGACTACACCAGGTTTTCCCCTGCTAAGATAGCCCTGCGGAGGCATTTGAACCAGGACCATGTCAGCAACGGAAGAGCGGCGCCCGCCGAGAACCTGCAGAGGTCAGTGAGCTGGGTGGGTGTGGGAAGCTTGCTTGGGTTGCCCCTGCCACTCACCCCGAGGGGAGGATCCCTGCCAGTGAGGCTCGCTTTGAAGTCCCAAGGGGTCTTTTCCAGTTGAGCTTCCACCTGCCAGAGAAAGCCAGCCCTCAGAGCACGGGCCATGGTACTCCTGGCATCCATCTCCCTCTTCATGCTTCTTTGAGCATGGGGGAGCTGGGGCAGAGAGCATTGCAATGGCTGCCTGTCTTGGAGGCTTGTCTTCTGTTCCTAATCGTCCCACTGAGGCACAAGGTGCAGTTTAAAAGCAATTGCAGCAGATCGATACAAGTGTGTGCGTGTGGGTGTAAAATAAACCAGTCTGGAATCCCTGTGAGCTTGAAAGAGATAGACTTTGTTCATCAAGACTTCGCGCTAAGCGCTTCTTCCTTTTCAGAGCTGAGCATTTAAAGGAGAACAGCCTTACAGTTCCAAGCCCAGCACTATCGAATGGGATAAAGATGAGCCCCCTAGAAGCCCAGCCCTCTTCTCCAGCAGCTTCACCGATCCCTAACGAGAAGGTAAGGAAGAGATCCGTGAGTATCCAGAGATGGCAAGGTGGTGACTCTAAGCTGTACAGGCGTTTGGATACAGCTTGGCGGGGAAACTTACAGAGAATGTCCTGAACAAGAAACAACTTGTTTAACGCTGTAGCTCTCTTTGTGTATAACATTAATCAAGGCATTGTGACTTAATTAATCACAGAGCGGTGGAGTGGTGTCCTCCCCTAGGTGAGTGTGTTAAAACAACAACAACAGGAACAGAAAGTTTTGTATTAGGGCTGAAACCAGGATTACAATGTCCATGCACTGAAACAAGCTGGGATTTGTAAGACTATTTCAAACCAGGGTTCGCAGTTGGCAAATTTGGGAGCGCTAACCAAATTCTAGGTTTGGATGCAATGCTTTCCTATTGCCTTCTTGTACGATGGGGATAAATGAAGTGGCATCAAATGGGCGGTGTGTAATGTTAGTTCACATCATGGTTCATTAGAAACAGAGAAACAGCGCGAGTCAGAAGGGGTCTCCCAGGCCATCTAGTCTGACCTCCGGTACCAGCCGGCTCCGCTCACGACATGCCCACCATGTGCACGTCCAGCCTATCCTGGAACACCTGCACCGATGGGGCCTCAACCACCTCTCGTGGAAGCCCATTCCACACCCTCGGGGTCCTAACTGTCAGGAAGTGCTTCCTGGCATCTAAATGGAACCTTGGTTCCCTGAGCTTTGCTCCGTTGGAGCACATCCTGCCCTCCTCTGCAGGGGAGAACAGGTTTTGACCCACCTCTGTGTGCCAGGATTCCTGGCTTACTGTTAGGTGTGAAAACGCCTTTCCTGGTCAAAAAAGGATGGGAAAGGACATTTATAAATGGCGGGCATTAGAGACCTTGTAAGCTTTCTGTGAAATATGTTGGCGTCGCTTCGGAAGTGCAGCTGCCTCTCCAAAAAGGATGAGTCTCTGTAGTGTTTCTGTTTTCTATGCTCTTGAAGAAGCCAGGGGTGAGGTTAGAATACATTGTCTTGTTGATCCTTACCTTAAAAGGTCATCCTAACTCTGTGCCAGGTTATGAGCCATCCCTAATTTAAAAGCAGTTTGGGAACAGAGGAAATGGCACAGTTCATGTCCTTGAGAGCAGGTGCACGTGTGAATACTCCTGACCTCTAAACCACAACCAGAATGTGGAGGATGTGATGCTTCCAGGTTGGCTTCCACATCCTCTTTTTCATGCTTTGCTGTAGCCTTGGAATTGATTTGGTGGTGAGACTAGGAAGGACCAAAGGCTCATCTGCCTGCCTGTAGCTTGGCCTGGCTGCGCGCTGCTCCATAAATTTCAGTCTGTGTGCCCCAACAGTGGTGGCGTATAGTTAGGGAGAGGCTGTCCTGGGCAGTGCAGTAATTACAGACGTGGCTGCTAAGTGCAGATGCTCGGTCTTGCACACGCTTCCGGTGGGAATGACGGCAGCGCCGCTCATACGAGCCCTACGGGAAGCTGGGTCGAGGAGTGAGCCGTCCAGCGGTGTGTGCGTTTCATTGGCTGGCTGGCAGTTGGCCGCATCAGCATCTGCGAGCATCTACGTCGGGGCAGAGCAGGGCAATGCCTGCAGCTCTTCAGAGCTTCCTCTTGCTCCAGGCACGTACGGCTGCAGCCCAAGCATGTCGGCTGCAGGTGCCTGGCTGCAGGTTTGCCTTGTGTGTTCGCAGGCCTTGCGCGAGAGGACCCCCGCGAGTAACGGGGAGACGATCACCAGCCTTCCCATCAGTATTCCCCTCAGCACCGTGCAGCCCAATAAACTCCCCGTTAGCATCCCCCTGGCCAGCGTCGTCCTGCCCAGCCGTGTTGAGAAGGTGGTGAGTAAGGCACTTTCCCCCTCCCTGCCGTGCCAGCCTGGAGACCAGCCAGCCTGCCGTGTCCCATGGCATGGCTCTGTGGCGGGCGGAATTCCATGGAAGACGCCTTCTCCTGGTTGGAAAAGCAGAGCTTGGCTTTGCGTGCAGAAGGACTCTGGGCCCGTCTCTGGCATCCCCACGCAGAAGATGCTGGAGCAAGCGGTGGGAGAACGGCCCTTTCCTGCTCAGACCAGAGAACCGCTGCCGGGGAGGAGAGATGGCCCTGGTCTGTGGGAAGGTCTCGAGCTGGTTGCAAGCAGCTTCCCATGTGCCCGGCTGGAGGTGGCCATAACTCCTTGCTGGGTCCTTTCAGTTTCTGCTTCCGTGAGTAGGAAGTCCAAGCTGAACTTGCCAGGGTGGATGTTCACCCCTTCCCCTCTCCCTTCCCCTTTTTCTTCTTCCAGAGAAGCACGCCTAGCCCTGTCCATCAGAACCGAGAATGCTTTCCAACACTTGAAAAACAATTTGGTGCTAATTCTCATAACGGCATTAACAGCGGCGCCGGCAGCAAGCCGCCTGCTCTGGCTACCTCAGGCAAGTCCCCTCCTTCCGCCACCCTCCCCCATGTGTTCCCTCCCGGAGAAGCGTGAGCCATCCTGCTGCATGCAGCACCAGCTAAATTCGGGAACGTGGAGTAAACGGGGTTCTGCTCACACCCCTCAGAAGGCCAGGCCAGAAATCTTCCCGTATCTAAGGCTGCTTTTGGAGGAGGGCTTGGCCAGTGGCTGTGCATGAAGCTGGCTCTTGCTTCTGCTCTGGAGCCTGCCTGTCCCCTGTCTGCAGCAGAAAACAGCCTAACCCCCAACCCTTGACCTGGCTGTGGAGACATCCCCCTCTCCTCCACGCGTGGGGCAGAGTAAGTCTTCCAGAAGAAATTTGCCATCTGTACCTTGTCATATGAATAGCTTTTCTGAGACCAAGATGGTGATTAACAATCGCACTTGCACCTTTCCTCAGGAGAGCCTTTTCCCATCAGAATGTTTCCAATCTATACTTCTGTTAACCCACTCAAATTTATATCTTAGTCCCTGTCTGCGCAATGAATAATACCCAGAACCAAATAGTAATAGAAGTGGTATGAAAGAAAACATGAGCCAGAGGCAGAACTGATTAAATTACAAGCTTGGAAGACTTTGGGGCTGGTAGGAAAATCAAAAACACAGTAGTTGGGTCTCCCTGGAGGGGGTTCTCAGTAATCAAGACATGTGGGGAAGGGCTCCTATAACCCCTCAGGTGTGCGGACAGGCTCATGTGGAGAAACATAGAAGCAGAGCGGGTCAGAAGGGGCCTCCCAGGCCATCTAGTCTGACCCCCGGTTCCAGCCAGCTCCACTAACGACATGCCCACCGTGTGCATGTCCAGCCTACCTTTGAACACCTGCACCGATGGGGCCTCTACCCCCTCCCGTGGAAGCCCTTTCCATACCCTCGGGGTCCTGACTGTCAGGAAATGCTTCCTGGCAGCCAAATGGAGCCTTGGCTCCCTGAGCTTTGCTCCGTTGGAGCTCATCCTGCCTTCCTCTGCAGGGGAGAACAGGTCTCAACCCACCATCGTGTGACACCCCCTCACACACCTGTATGTCGCCAACAGATCCCCTCGGAGTCTCCTCTTTTCCAGGCTGAAGTGACCCAGTTCCCTCAGTCTCGCCTCATATGGCATCCCCTGCAAACCAGCCACCAACCTTGTGGCCCTACGCTGCACTGACTCCAACCTGGCTATATCCTTCCTGTAATGAGGGGCCCAAAACTGAGCACAATACTCCAGTTGCAGGTGCACCAGAGTCATATAGAGTGGTAGTAACACCTCTCTCGATCTAGAAGCCACACTTCTGGCTATGCAACCAAGGGTGGCGTTCGCCCTCTTGGCCACCGCATCACACGGCTGGCTCATGTTCAGCCTGCAGTCAACCAGCACCCCGAGGTCCCTTTCACAAGTACTGCTCTCCAGCCAATTGTCCCCCAACCTGTACTTATTACACCCATTCCTATGCCCCAAGTGCAAGACCTTGCACTTATCCACATTGAACGCCATCCTGTTGTCTCCTGCCCACTTCCAAAGTCTGTCCAGATTCTTTTGGATCTGGAGTACCTGCTCTTCAGTTCTGGCCACTGCTCCAGTTTTAGTATCGTCTGCAAATTTGATCAGCAGACTGTTCACCCCTTCTTCCATGTCATTAATGAAAAGATTAAACAGGATTGACCCCAGGACAGAGCTCTGGGGGACCTTGCTTGTCAGCACCTTCCCAATGATTCCCTACTAATGGTTACCCTCTGCTTTCGGTCAGTCAACCATGCCCTAATCCACCAGACAGTGCTTTGGTGTATCCCAAAACTCCTCAGTTTCTCCACCAGGATATCATGGGGCACTTTGTCAAAGGCTTTGCTGAAATCCAGGTATACCACATCCACTGCATCCCCTCTATCTAGCCATCTCGAAACCTTGTCATAGAATCCCACAAGGTTTGTCTGGCAGGACCTGTTTCTGCGGAAGCCGTGTTGTATGGCTGTCAGCCTCCCTTCCCTATCTAGCATCACTAGATCTCTCTCTATTATGAGCCTTTCCATTGTTTTTCCTACAATGGACATAAGGCTAACTGGTCTGTAATTCCCCATGTCCCTTCTACTACCCTTTTTGAAAATTGGGCCCACTGACGCCACCCTCCAGTCCTCTGGAACTTCACCCGTTCTCCACGAGGCCTCAAAAATGGAGGCCAGCGGGTGTGGAAGAACCCGTGCCAACTCTCTAAGTTCTCTCAGGTGTAACCTGTCAGGGCCTGCCGCCTTTGTAATGTTCAATGCCCTGAGGAGCCCCTTGACTTCAAGGGGGGTGACTCTAATCTGTGCCCCTAGGTTCCCAGTCTCATCTAATCTCCTATGCGGATATCCCCCGTCCTGCTTTGGGGAGAACACAGAGGCAAAACAGTCATTTAGCATCTGTGCCTGTTCCCTCATATCAGTCACTGGATCTCCTTCCTCCTTATTTAGTGGTCTCACCACTTGTCTCCCTTTCCTCTTCCTATTTACATGCTGAAAGAAGCCCTTTTTTTTGCTCTTGATATTCTTGGCAAGTCTCAGCTCGTCATCAGCCTTAGCCTTGCGAAGAATCCTCCTGCAACGGGCCTCCTCCACCTGGTATACCCTTTTGTCCATTTCCCCCAGTACCCATTTCCTAAGGAGGTTCCTCTTGCGTCTAATCCCTCTTACCACCTCCTTTCGCATCCATGGCGGCTTCTCCTCCGCCTCCCCACCTTACTGACTAGAGGTATCGTCAAGGCTTGTGCCTCCAAGACCTCCTTTTGAGTGCCATCCACCCCTCCTCAACTCGCTTGCCTCCCAGTAACCCGTTCCAGGAGACTTTCCCCAGTCTGGCCTTCAATGGCCAAAGTTGGCGCTCTTGAAGTCCCAGCTTCTGGTGCTCGACCTGCTGCACGTCCCCAGTCCCCTGATCTCAAAGCAAAGGATGGAGTGATCACTCGCATCCAGAGCTCCCCTAATCTGTACCTCATCTATCAGCTCCTCCCTATTGGTCAAGACCAAGTCAAGGATGTTCCCGCCCTCATTGTTTCTAGGACCCTCTGGGTGAAAAACCCTCCCTCTATAAATTCTGGGAAGTGACGTGATCTGGCTGTTACCGCCGAGTGAGTCTCCCAACTAATATCCAGGAGACTGAAATCTCCCATAATTACTGTGTATATCCCCCGAGATATCCTTAGAATCTGGCCTGTCAGAACATCATCCAGGGTCTCAAGTTGACCTGGAGGGTGATAACATACCCCCACTGTCAGGTCTCTTTCCCTGTCAAAACCCCTAAGTTTCACCCAGACTGCCTCTGCCGAATCCCCATCTGTGCTGCATTCTCTTCCACTGCATCCTATCCCTTCCCTGATGCATAAAGCCACGCCCCCACCTCTCTTTCCCTTCCTGTCCTTTCTAAAAAGGTGATACCCTTCTATGTTCACATTCCAGTCTTGCCTTTCATCGCACCAGGTTTCTGTGATCCCCATCAGGTCAGACCCTCCCATTCCCAGGAGAGCTTCCAGCTCTTCCTGCTTGTTACCCTTGCTCCTAGCATTGGTGTACATGCACCCCAACTCCTTCCCACCGCTTCCTTTCCTTGGAGTCCCCAGCCTCCTCCTGCCTCCCATCCTCCCTGATACCTGGCCCCTCTCTGTAGGAGTCCTGTCAGTCCCTGCAGTACCTCTAAAACTCTGCTCCCAGAGCCCTGATCCTCTCCCCACACTTGTCCAGTGCAGACACGTTTCTGGGGGGCCTGAACCCCCCCCCCCGGCTCAGTTTAAAGTCTTCCGGACGAAGCTCGCTAGAGACTAGAGAAAGAGGTACCAATGAGTCGACGAGAGATGGCAGTCCTGACATGCAGTTGTCTTCCCTGCATCCCTTTCCACAGGTTTTCCTTATGTTTCTGGCTCCATGCCAGTCCATGGAACTCTTCCAAACAGCCCTGCTCATCTTAATCACAGCGTGGACCATGCTACCGTAGAGGACGTATCCAGCTCGGGAAGCTTGTTCAACCCGGTGGGGTCCCAGAGCGCCACCCCGCAGCTCCCCACTGTGCTGACGATGCCCTTGCGCCATCCTGGGCAGGGCTCCCCCGCCCACCAGCATGCGGCGAGCCCCCGGCTGAATGGGGCCTGCCAGAGCCTCGGAGGGGTGCTCCAGTACGTCGAGGCCCAGAAGCCGTTTGCAGAGGGCTCCCGGCCAGACGTGCAGCAAGAGCCGGCTTTCTCCGACCCAGAAAGCGAGGGCAAGCGAAGGATCATCTTCACCATCTCCCCCGCCCCGGGGAGCATCAAGCATTCCCCCTCGAGCAAGCACAGTCCGCTCATGGCGAGCATCCGGGTGGAGTGCGGCCAGGCCTGCGTGCAGGATGGGAAGAAGCGCGGGCGGAGGAAGCGCTCTTCCGCCGGAGCGCTGAACGTGAACTCCGGCGTGTCTCCGAAGCGCAAACCCCTGCCTGCAGCGACCGGGCGCTTTGCCCAGTCTTCAGGGTCTCCCCTTAACATCAACTCAATGGTGAGAAGAGGGGTGCCGGGCTTTGGGGACTCCCGACCAGAGGGTCGAGACAGCTGCTCGCCGCTCCCCACTTGGCTGCGAGGCTCAGTGGGTGCTCTGTGCAGGGAAGCTGAGAGCCTGTGCCTGCCCTCGGCTCCTCATGGCCCGTGTCTCAACTCGGGGTGTGGGCTCAGCCTTCTCCCACCAAGCCCCTGTTCCACGCTGGCCTAGCACAGACCCCCTGCCTCTCGTGGCATGGAGGAAGTCGAAATGGGCCGCTGGTGGGAGGGCAGGGCAGGGCAGGGCAGGGCAAGGATAGGGGTGGCCAACCAATGCCCCCCCGTGTGAGTGGCTCCTGCCAGAAGAGAAACCTGCCACGTGGGTCCACCCGACATGCATCTGTTCCCCATGGCATCTGATTAATGTCTCTCTTAAGATATACTCAGCTCTTCAGGGGCTTGAGGGCATTGCCCATCCTTTGGGTTTTATTTTTTCTGCTTTTTACAGATCAGTTTTACTGCACAATGGAGCTGTTTAAAATTGATTTTAATGCTCTTTTTAAAAAATGAGACTTCTCTCTCACTTTTTGGTTTCTGTGCCTTGCTGTAAACCACTCAGAGAGCTTCAGCCATGGAACAGTATAGAAACACAATTGATTGCTTAAATAAAGCAATAATTAAGCTTGCCAGCTGAAGGTGCGAACAGCTGCCTTCTCTGAGCAATTTGAACGCCATGCCTCTCTGAGGTCGCTGGCCTTCTGGATGGACCCTACTCCCCTTCCCACATCCCTGGGCCCGGCTGAAAGAGTTAACCCCCCTTCCTTCCCAATGCCTTCTTTCTGGCATCCCCAGAGTCTGCAGGCACGGGACCTGCTCCTTTCATTGACTGTAGGTAGCTGTCCTGGGAGGAGCAGCAGGAAAATATTTCATAGACGTACCCACAAGTAGTCGCCCTCCCTTTGCTTCTCCCTGAGTCTGTCCAGTTCCTGGTTCTTTTTCAACCCTCTCTTTGAAATAAAGTTACCAGGTCTGAGACCGAGAAGCCTGTTAGCTTACACTGTCTGTCCCAGCCTCCCTGGCCCATAACCTTTTCTTTTTTCTGCTTCCTCCTTTCCCCAGGTCAATAACATAAACCAGCCTTTAGAAATAACGGCCATTTCTTCCCCTGAAAACTCTCTGAAGAATTCTCCCGCCCCGTACCAGGACAATGACCAGCCGCCAGTGCTGAAGAAGGAGAAGCCACTCGCCCAGACGAACGGCATCCATTACTCTCCGCTGACGTCCGATGAGGAGCAGGGCTCGGAGGATGACCACAACAGCACCAGGTGAGTGAGGCCAGCCTGTCACCTGCGCTGAAGCGCTTGTGTCAGAGCTGGCTCCGAGGGTCGCCCGCTGCCCAATTCACCTGCATGGTCTCCTCCTCAGATCCCCCTTGCCTGGACATTTCCTTTCATGCTCCCACAGAGTCCCTCATCTTAGATCCCGATACTTCTCGTCTCATTTTTCCACAGCCACTACCCTCCTGCAGTCCCAAAATACTCCCCTTCCTTCCTTGCTCTCTCATATGCTAAGAGCTGCCTCTGCAGAACCACTGAGCATCCTCTTGTGATGCTCCTTCTCTTCTCTCTTCATGCTCTTCCTCAAAATCTTCCTTTTCTGCACAGCCTTTAGCGTGGCTTCCTCATTTCTGAGCCCTGCTGTCGCTGGAACAACAGTGCACTCTTTTTTTCTTTCCCTCTGCAGCCTCTGTTTTTCTTCCTCTTTCATTTCCCCCATGTTAATTTTAGGCTGAAGCTCCTCTGGCCATTGACCTCTCCCCTTGTACTTTGGAAAGTGTCGGGCACATTGAACTCCCCACAAAAATGCAAAAGAATCTGGCAGAGCCGGTCGGTGGCACAGGAGACTTTCAGAGAGCTCAGAAGAATGCCCCAGGGGATAGTAACTGTATTAGGACCAACCAAAGTGCATGCTTTTCACTTTTTCATCAGGCTTACTGGTAGTAAAAAGCAGGGAACAGAGGGAGAAACAGAAAAATTAAATAAATATTTATTATTATTATTATTATTATTATTATTATTTATTAAAACATTTCTATGCCGCCCCTTGCCGTAGCCTCGGGGCGGCTCACAACATATTTGGCCAGATGTCTTAGCCACAAGATCTGCGAGTTAGTCTCAAAATGCAGATTTACAATCTGAATTTGTACATGGTAGGTAAAGAAGCAACAGCCAGTCTTTGTTTCTTAGAACACAAACGCCATTGCTGACCTGGGTCTGTCTCTTACCTTGGGAAAGGTACACCAGTTCCTGACTTGGCAGAGTGCAGAAAAATAAGCCATTCCTTATATGAATATTTATTTATTCGCTGTACATGCCAGCTCAGTAGCCATAGGCTCTTGGGGCAGCTTACAAAAAGCTGGATATGAATTTTAGGTAGTATACTAGGTTTAAAAAAAGTGAGGCCAAACTGGATTACTTCATAGTTGGAAAGTAATAGTCTTTTTCATCTGATGACGACGACAGAGAACTCTCTGCAGTGGGTCAAATGCCTGGTTTCACAAGGTGGCCATAATTAGCCAAATCCTGAGGAGACTTGGCCTTTAGGCTGGACCACTGGAATGTGTGTATCCTGCATATGAACTGGGGCAGAGTGCAGCACTCAGGGCAAGTCCTGGGATCGATCCCCATGAACACTTTGAACCGTTGCTGAAGGGCTGTTCCTGGCAGCCTCTCAGTCTCTGGTCCTGATCTAGTTCTGAGCTTAACCTCATAGCAGCGGTGGCAGCAGCATCAGTGAATATATACAAGACCAGCTTCTTCCTCATAAATTGTGCTGTGGAGTGAGATAATCCTTGGAGACCCTTCTTTGACTGTGACTGCCTTCAGAGACAGCTCTTTGGGCTTATTCTGTGGGGGTTCCCATAGTATTTAACTGGGCAGGGGTCTGTCTTACTGGTCTTCAGGATCCAGATGAAGTCCAGCCTGTTCTCATGGTGATTTCTTGGCTTTCCTGAGATCTCCTCTTTATTGATTTGACTGACAACAGAGAGAAATAATTACTGGTTGCAGCATGGATCTTTTTAAATGGAGTGCAGAGTTTTGTCATGGCTTAGAAGCTTGTGCAAGAGATGGCACATAAGCTCCTTAACATAAGCAACCCTCTTTCCCACTTTTCTTTTCCAGAATTGAGAGAAAAATTGCAACAATATCATTGGAAAGCAAATCTCCACAGAAGCCAATGGAAAACAGTAAGTTTGCCATCTCTTGGTGTGTGTGTGTGGTATTAGAAATGTCAGCATAGCTGGGCTCCCTTGTACCATCCATGGGAAGCAGCTGGAAATGGCAGAAAAGGTCCCTGTGGTTGGACAGCTTGATTGAAATGGATTGTTGTGGTGGTTGTCTTTGAGGACAGAGGTGTACTTTGAATTTGCCTTCTGTCTATACACACACATAATCCTTGCACAGAGGAGTGGGAAGCTGCTGTATTACGAAGCTAAAAGCCTGCTTTTCAGAGTGCAGATTTGGTGAGTCAGATCGGGGCTCTGTGTGCACAGGGCAGGGTGCCCTCCAATCAGTTTGCTCTTTGAATCCTTTTTAGCCTGCTGCTCAGCCAAAAGAGCCCCCAGAAATGCCTTCAGAGGCCAGTAGGAAGGCAGGCCTCTGTCCTGATGGTCTAAGAGACAACCGGAAAGGAAAAGGGATGAGAAAAGGTGCAAAGTCCCGTCCTTAGTTACGGAGTTTTATTTATTTATGTATTTATTTAAAACTTTTGTATGCCATCCCCCATGCAAGGCATCTCGGACAGTCAATCAAATCACATACATTAAAACAGTTCAAACGGTAAAAGCAATAAAAGCAATTAAACGCAACTGTTACATTAATGCTAAAATACCAGTTAAATAAAAAGGTTTTGACCTGGCACCCAAAAGAGTATAAGCTCCCATGAAGCAGAAACCATCCAAGGGCAGGAGCTGCCAATTGCTGGTCTCCCAGCAGGTGGAGTCCTTCTCCTCTTCGCTTCCTCTGACGCAGCCTGCGGGGACAGGGACCTAGCAGAGCTGCTGGCGCAGCAAAGCAGTCAGTAGCTTTCCTTTGCTGCAGCTTGGCTTTGGTGGTCGCTTGTTTGTTTGTTTTAAATCCCACTTTCAATCGCTATTTTACATGCCTCCATACAATGGCACCCCTGCCCAGGACTGGGATGTAAAAGTCATCACATGGCAGCTGCCTTTCTCCATAAGGCTTGTGAAATCCCCATGGGGAAATGGGCGCAAGTGAGCTTCTGAGTTTAGGAGAGACAAAAGAAGAAGCGCTTCGTGGCTTGCAGTGCTGACTCGTTGGCCCTTGGCTGTACGGGCAGCATTTTGACCAAGCCCGAGGCCGAGAGCTGATCTCCCAAGTTCAACACCTACAAAACCTTCTCCCCCTCTCTCCTCTCCTCTCCTCTCCTCTCCTCTCCTCTCCGCAAAACAGGCTTAAGCTTAGTGGGAAGAAAACCAGCTAGTGAGAATATGAACAGCAGCAAGTGGAAGTCAACCTTTTCTCCCATTTCGGACATCAACTTGACCAAAACAGTGGACAGTCCTCTGCAGGGCACGTCCCTGAGCCAGAACTCCCTCTTCTCTTTCAGGCCGTCCATGGAGGACGGCCCGGCGGTGGACGCCAAGGCTGCAGCCCATGTCCGGAAGCACCAGGCCGCACCCGGTCCCGGCTCCGAGGGGCTCAGCCAAAGCACCAACCTGGTGAATGGGTTCACTTACAACGGCGGGCTGTCTGCAGAGGGCGCTTTGCACAGCTTCATGGATGGTGCTTCCCTTCCACAGAAAGCCGCCGAGGCCGCGGCGGCACTGGGGGGGGCGTCCCTGAACTTTCTGATGCAGCGAAGCAAGGAGGCCGCCGGGGTCTCCGAGACGAATCCGTTCTTGAGCAAGAGGCAGCTAGAGAGCCTTGGAGCTGGGAAAGGGGAAGACTTGAAATGGCCTGTGCCCAGAGGTAAAGAGGGTGGCGAACTGGGCGTCCGCCTGAGCGGCCCTTTGGACAAGACCTCGGTGTTGCACCCAAGCAAGATCAGCAAAGGGCGGGAGCGGGACGTGGAGCTGAAGACTGGCCACAACCTCTTCATTGCCGCCGCCGCCACCGTCCCCTCCAGCGGCCTTCTCAACGGCAAGGGCCACTCTGTCGCGGCCTCCAGCAGCTCGCCCACCACCGCTGCCTCTGCCCAAGTACCCCACCCTTTCTTGAACCCGCTGACCACTGGCTCGGCTTTCCCCCTCGGCCCTGTGGTGACGAATGCGTCGGTACTACAGACCTTCTTTAACTCGATGCCAGCTGCCGGCTTGGTCCACGTTTCGTCAGCTGCTACCCGGCTGACCAACTCGCACCCCATGGCAACCTTCTCTCCCGGAATGACAGGTGGAACAGTTGGAGGTAGGTGTGGCGGGGGGGGGGGCTCTGTGTCACTAAAGCAGGATGGGGGCGAGGAGCCAGGATGGATGTGCCTTCCAGCAGTCCCCCACGCTCTCAACGTGTTCTCCTTCTGACTGTGCTGTTCCTCTTCGTCTCATTGGCCCATTACTGCTTGTAGTGGACCTCTGTTTGCCTTGGAGGATTTGGAAGGGTGTCCCTGAAGGTCAGACCACAAGGGGTGGGAGACAACTCTGTGTGAAGAACCATCATGGATCTAGCACAGGGGGAAGCTGAAGCACCAAATCAGAGCTCCCCCCCTCTGGACAGCATTAGATGTGTTAGCTGACAGCTTCCGACATCCCCTTAGCTAGCCACGCTGGCTTAAGGATTCTGGAAGTTACAGCCTTGCCCACCTTGAAGTTGCTACACTGGGGAAGGCTGTGCTAAACTTTCAGGGGTTCTCATGTGCCTGCCAAGTCAGGTGCCCAAAGGTTGTAGGAAGCTTTTCCCCACCCCAAGAATGTGTGCCTGAAACGGTTTTTTGTGGTGGCCGGTCCTGGGAAGGAGCAGTAGCTTCTAGAGTGGCTCCGGTTCACGAGGGTCATTGTTGCCAAAAGGTTGACCTAGGCTGGGGATGCCTGCCGGGTCTCCGGGTCTAGCCGCAGAGTTCCAGGGGCGCTTCTGGGACCAGAGAGGAGGCAGGTAAGTGAGCTGCTCTCCAGCTGGGTTTGCGCCATTGCTGCTCATTGCCTGCTGCTCTCCTCACATGCTGTGTGTCGTGCTTCAGGCTGCAGCCGCAACTGGTTTGGTTGCTTATTTTTTATTTTTATTGTTGTTGTTATTAGTATTATTATTATTATTTTGCCTGCCTGCCTGCTTGCTTTCTTGTTTTGTTCTGTTCTGTTTTGCTTCTTTCGCCGTGACCTAAACAAAGTCCATCTGCTGAGGGTTTTTTTTCTCTCTCTCTCTCCCGTTTGCAGGTATTTTTAACCATGTGGTGCCTTCTGCCTCCTCCTCCTCTTCCTCCTCTGCTTCCTCCTCCGCTTCCTCCTCCTCCCCATCCATCCCCTCTTTTTCCTCCCCCCCCTCCTCCTCCTCATCCTCTCTCCACTTTGGAACCACCCTGGGCAGCAGCGCCGCGTCCAGCTGCATGGTGCTGAGCCTGAATCCTCTGCAAGTCGGGTCGGGCTCCCCGTCATTCCATGTGCCGCCTAACCCAGTGCCATCCAGCGAGGCTCAGCCCCTCGGCCGGGTCCCCACACATTCCTCCCTTTGCACCCCCCCTCCGCCGCCGCCGCCGCCACCGCCGCCGCCGAACGTGTCCCTGCCTCCCCCTCCCCCCCTCCTGGCGTCTAACTCCGAGCCGGTCCTCCTGCAGGGCCTGCCCACCCTGCCTGCCTCCGAGGCGTTCCTGCCGCCCTCCACCACTAACTCCGCTTTGTCTATTAAGCTAGCTTCTCTCCAGCACAAAACCTCCCGCCCCTCCTTCACTGTCCACCACCCGCCTCTGCCCCGCTTGGCGCTGGCCCAGGCCGCGCCTGGGATGCCGCAGTCCAGTGCCGCCGGTACTCCCGCTGTGTGGCTCACCCTTGGCATGCGGTCTCCTTACGCTTCGCATCTCTCTGGGGTTAAGCCGCGGTAATGAGTCCAGCTTAGCTTGTAAGCTTTGGTGCTCTGTAAGGTAAGGCCGGTGTGGGGTGCCTGGGCTTGGGGTGGGTGAAGGAAGGCTTGTGCTGAGGAGCAGGCCTGTGCGCCCCCCTCCCCATTCAGGCCTGTGCTTGGCCATCCCTCCCCAGGCCAGAAAGCCCGAGGCCTCAAAATGGCTTTGACACGGGAGGAGCTAAGAAGCAACCCCTTGCTGAGTCATCCCGGGGCCCCGGGTTGCAGGCGCTGGCAGGCAGCAGCGGCGTCCCAGGGCTTCGGTCCCACTTGGAGGCTCTGGGGCGGAGGATGGGACCAGCTGCACACAAGGCAGGGGCTCTGGCGCTGGGCTGGCTGTGGGCCTGGAAGTGGCCAAGCCCCTGCGGGGTGTGTGGAAGGTCCCACGCTTGCTTCCCACCCTCTCCACTTTAAACCAGTGTGGAGCTGGTGAGGACAAGCCCCCTCTTCTGCCAGAGCTGCCGCTCACTGGAGGGACCGCAGGTATGATCCACCTGAGGGCAGCTCTGCACCTCAAGAACGCTCTTGTGTGCTGGCTTGGGCCCAGGATGGAACTCGGGAAAAGGACCACAGGTTTTAGCCGGTGGGCGCCCTGTGCCTCCTTCCCTGGGTGGGATCAGGGCGGCTTTCCATGGAAATGTTGCCGAAGAGGACGGCCGCATTGGAGGCGGTTGCAGTTCCCAAAAGTCTTTGGGGGCTCCACGTGAACCGAAGCAGTGCAAAGGTGGGGAGGCACACCTGTGGGGTGGAGGGGGAGGTGGCATTTCAGTGGGGAGGGATGGAGATGAGCTGTGCTGTGGGTGCTGCAGCCACCTTTTCCTCCCCTCTGTGGTGCCTCAGCTGAACAGGTGGAAGAGCGCAGAGGTGGGGACCACACTGCTCTTCTCCCTGCTCTGCTCTGCGCGACAGCAAGATACCTCTTTCGGGTTTTGCAGTCCCTGGGGCACAGCTGCCAACTTTGAATGCCAGATTTTTATTATGTATAATTTTCACTGAGGTTATCAAGGTCATTTCAATATATTTTAACTGTTTGATTGTGTGCCCCTTTGTATGTTGCTTCACTTACTTGGTGTTATTTTGTATTGGTTGGTTTTATATTGTCATTTATGATTGAATTATACTGCTTTTTATTGCTGTTAAAATGTACTATTTTGTGTGCTGCCCAGACAGTCTATGGCTAATGGGATGGCATAGAAGCCAGATAATTAAATCAACTCCTTCTGATGCTTCATTGCCTAACAAATGGGAAGAGTTTTAAAGCAGAGCTTCTGTATTTGTGGCATTAGTTGCAGTAATGAATGAATCCTTTAAATTAGACCCTCCCAATATTTTGGCCTACAGCTCCCATGATCCCGCCACCATGGACTTTGCTGGTGATTGCTGGCTGGAGTTGTAGGCCGAAAAGGGTGGCGAGTTGTCTACCTGTAGGTTTTAAGGGAATAGCCACATCCTTTTGCTATCTCAAAGAGGCTTGTTTTAACTGCTTAAAAATGCTTTGATGCTTTAAAAATCTCACCCTTTCTCTCTCCCCCCACATACATTGTCTCCTGATGTTTAAAATGCAAGTCTCAAAATGAATTGCATCCTTGTCTCCTTCCCTCCCCTTCATGTCTCACAGGTAACTAGGACTTCTACCTCAACCCAACATGACCTATGCAAGGAAACGTGGACCAACTTCTCTCAGCTCCCACTGAAGGTGCTCGCCTCGCCTCGCCTCGCCTCGCCTCGCCTCGCCTCGCCTGGCCTGCTTAAGGGTTTCTGCTTCTCCCCACCCCTTTTCATTTACTACTGGACAAAGACATGAGTCATAAGTGTAAAACCGGAGGAAAAAAAAATGCTACTGTGAATCTAAGTTAAATATATATATAGATATAAATATATATTCAAACTGCAGAAGAAATTGCTTAGAAACAGCTCCAGTTTGTATTGTTGATAGTTTAGATATTTATATATTTTTAAATGTTTAAAACACACACACACACAATTTTTTTGGTTCAACCTGAAGTTGAACTGAAAAAATAAGAGAGAAGACTTTAACAGTGAAATAACAATTCTTTCTGAAATAAAAGACTGGCTCGCCAGCTTCCCTCGGTGCTATCCACATCCAGCAAATGGTGCCTCTCCGGTCCAGAGCCATGGTGCTTTTCCTCCCCCACCCCCACTTTCTTCTTCTTCTTCTTCTTCTGGCCTGGGGCAGATAACCAGCACTGAGCGGGTTGCTCCTACACATTTCCCTGCTCCCCATGGCTTGTGCAGACAGGCTGGTTGTCACAGTGAAGCAGGGGGGTGGTTAGTGGGGCGGGGGGGCAGCTCTTTGCAAAGCAGATCTGGCCGTTGTTGGAAAAGCGTATTTGCAGGCAGGAGGAAATCACGAGCTCTCGTGCACCCCCCCCCCCCACCCCAATTCCAGCCCCCTGGCAGAATGCAGCTCATGGTGCTCATGCTTGATCCCTCCCCATCCCCCCCCCGCAAAAAACCCCATAGGTGGCTAGACCCACAATGAATTTTGGAGGAGTGCCTTGTCTTAACTGTGATGGCCAAAGGCGTGTAGCAGACAGTGCTGGGCAGGTCCGTGGGGGCGGCAGGCCAGGCCTGGCTGGGCGCCGAGGCAGCCCTGGCATTCCAGCTGGTGGATCTGCTTCGGGTGACTGGGCGGGGGAGACCTTTGCCTGCGGCTGAGCATGGCAGGCCTGGGAAGCTGTCCTCATCCCCCAGGACCGGTCCCCCCATTACACGGTGGCCTTCCAGATGTTGGACTCCAGCTCCCACCAACCCTTGGTCAGGGATGGTGTTGGTCGTCGCCCAACATCTGGAGGTGGCCACAGCCGTGTGCCCCCCACCCCCTCCATTTAAAGCCGCAGTAGTTTTGGTTCCCTCCCTCCGTCCCTCCCTCATCTTTTTGGGAATGAATGCCCCTTGTGTTTTCTCATGCTATCATTTGGGGTTTGCATCGCTTGGGAATTTGAGCCTTCATTTCTCACAGGGTGGATGCCCATCCAGCAGGTGAAATTTGCCTTCCCTTGTTGGGGTTGTGAGACTTCAAGTGATTGGCCTGCTGCTGCTTGACCTGAAGGGAGGGAGGGTCTTTTGACCCGCCGTGGTGCAATTCTGTAGCAGGTGCCCTTCTGAGCAGATTCTCCTGAGACAAAGAGGTTCAGGGGCATCCGCCACACATTTGGAGGTCACCAAGGCCTCTGGAGTGGGTCAGACCGTTTCCAGTAAAGCTTGAGAAAGCAGACAACCGAATCTTAGGCTGCTGTCAGCTTCTTTTGTTGGGTTCGTTGGTTCAACGTACAACGTGTTATTTTTTTGTTAGCGAAGTTTTGATACTTGAGATGCAGCTTCGCCTTCTGTATGTCTTATCAGCTGAAGCGTGTGCTCGCTCTTTGCTCATTTGTACTGCTTTTGTTTTTCAGTAGGGTTTTAATGATACTTCACACCCACAGCCACAAAACACACACCACAATCAGACCTAATTTTTGTATCATCCTTAAAATATCGGGTGCATTAAAAATAATCATAATTATTTTTTGGATGATCAGTGTACAGGGGAATAAAAGGCACACCACTTCTGGGATGCAACGAGTATTTTATAGAGATGTGTTGACAAAATTTATAAAAAGATTTTGTATGCTTTTCATTTATTTTTATTAGATTGTGTTCATAGGAAAACATGGAGTGGATATAAGGGTTGTTTTATTTATTCAAGCGTGTAAAAGCAGGGGTGGTAGGAGAATAAAACCTCTGGATTATTGCTCCATGTCTAAGGTAGCTTTGAACCAAGAAAGAGCGAGATGACTTGCAATAATAATGGAAATGACACTTAAGCAGTGCAAGGTGGAAAGCCTCTGGCGCTTGAAGTTGTAGAAAATAAGCTTTCAAAAAGTGGTTTGGGGAGGGAGGTGATGAGGTCACCTCAGAAATGCTCAGTGTCCCCTATACCCCGCCCCTTCTCTCTCGTTCCTCCCCCGCCTCACCAAGTTTCTGACCCGTTTGGAATACATACCTCTGTGCATACATACCTCCCCTTCAACAAGGCCTCTATGCATCTGCTGCATGATTCCATTCCCCTTCCTTTGCCATGCAATAATTCTTGGGCTGCCCTTCCCTCCCAAGCAGCCCTCCCTGGCGTGGGTTCCTCTGGACATTGCAGACCACTGCCCTTCAGCCCCAGTCAGCACATCAGTGGTCAGGGCAACGGGGGAAGTCGGGGACTTCCCTCCCCAGTTTTCAGCTATTCCATTGCTCCGAGGTTCATATAGCTTTTGCTGGCTTTACTCGTGCCGTGTCCTAACCGGAGCCCTGCTGCAAAGCGTCATACACACTATAGTGCCTGCGAATTCAGAAGGTTTGGAGACCCGGCAGCTTCTCATGGAAGCCTGTGAGGCTTGGATCCCGGGGAGGCATCGCCGGCACAGAAGTTCCGACAAGGAAATCCGGGATTCCAATCACAGGAGCAGGAAGGGGATGGCTCAGGGAACCAAACCATTGCCGAGCTTTTCCTGCAGAGGTTGTCCACCTCTACTCCACCCTTTTTGTGGGAGAAGCCAATTGACACGACAAAGTCAAAGAGCCGGATGGATTCTCCTCCCCTTGCTTCCTCTGCTCATCTCATCTTTGGCGGCAAGGTGGGCCATGAGGGAAGGAGGACCTGTAGGGCTCTCCACTTCCCCTCCCTTTCCTCTCTTTGCTTTAATTTTGAGAAAGCCCCTGTTGGGAGACAATGAGGGCGAGTGTCGTTCTCCACTGTTGGAAATGATAACTCCTCTGCAAGCCACGGGGTCAGAGATGTTGTCATTTCTTAAAGTGGAGACCAAGCTCAGCATGGTCAAGCCAGAAGGAGAAAGCATCACCTTCCGCAGCAAGGTCTGCACTTCCTTCTGGATGCAGGTGGGGTTCTCCCTCTCGCTGGGATTCCTGCTCCCCCCCCCCCCGACCCCCCGCTTAGTTTGACCTTGCTGTGAAATCTCTGGTAATGTTCTCCTTCCCTTTGAGTGACTAGGTTTTTCTGGGGAGGTTTTTCCTTGAGGAGAATTAGCCCAAAGTAATCTGTTGATGCCACATTTCCAAGTGCTGGACCCCCTGAATTGCATGATAACTTCAAGGAGGAAGCAAGAGCAAATGTTCTTGTTTCTCACCAAATTTCCCCCTTTATTTCCTGGTCTCTTTCCTCATTAATATCTTGGAGGAAACACCTGTTGGCAGGGGCCTTTTTCATTCTTGCTGATGCTGAAAGTCGACTAGTTTTAGAAGGCCATGCGTGGTATTATTATTTTTATTTAAATCTGTATTGTCCTTTTGTGCACAGTGGGAACTTTCAGCACAGCCTATTAGCAGACACCACCCACCCCAACAGGTGGGGTCAGGTTTCTACAATCTCTGGATGCAACTTTGCTCAAAAAGTTCCTTCTAGCTATTGTTTTTCCGCATCTGCCAGGGGAGAAAGGAACTTGGGGTTCCCTAGGTGCATCTGTGAGTCAGGAAATCACCTTGCATATTGTTGCCAAATTTTTGACTACCTGTCTTGCTCAAATACATGTGGCCTTCAGTTGCCGGCTTGATTGCATACGGATCCTCCTCCTCCTATGTCCATTTGTGATGCACCTTGTGCTCTCCTTTCCAATGCCGTTGGATGTTTCTGGATGTTACCCTGTCAGATGCAGGGTGCTGTCTTCACATCCTTCGCCCAGGGGGGCCAGGTGGGGGTTGGGCCAGGTGCAGGCGCAGGTGCAGCTGCCAAACCAATCGCAATTCTCTCTCCATCTTTCTTAGGGCTATTTGAAGACTTTATATTCCTGTGAACAAAGCTGCTCCCTCTTCCAACCAGTCTCCAGTGGGCACCAGAGCTTAACTTTTAGGTTGAAAGTGGATCTGTCCCATTCCCCGTCATGTGTGGACAAATGAGTGGAAAAGAATTATTAACAGATACTTCCACGAGGCTTTATTTAAAGAGCCAACCAACCAGGCCTTACCCCTTTCTTGAGCAGTTGCTGATTTGTCCCTAAACATGCAAGATCCTGCAACAAATGTATAATTGGGTTAGGAGTCTCAACTCAGCCCTGTTGGTTGTGCTGAGCGGTGCAAGATGGTTCTGTAAAGTGACAACGCAACCTGCATGAAGCGTTTCAGCCCTTCTCTTTCGTTATGATCTGCCCAGCGAAGGATGGGCAAGGTGTGTACTGGGGGGTGGGAGTTGCGGGCGGGGGGTGCATTCTTGCTATCGAACACTCACCCACTGCACATGCAGCTGACCTTTCCGCAGAAGCCTTTTAAAAAGGTGCTCCTTGTTGCCATGGCCGCCCCTCCTGTGCCACCGCTTTCAAGCAGTGCTTTCCCTGGCATGGCAAGACAGTCTGCCCAATTCTGCAGCTTTGCACTTAAAAGGCCTTCTTTTTGCTTTTGCTTTCCTTGCGTTGTTGGGCTAAGGAGATGGTGGGAGTGGGACTTCTGCTCTCCACAGAGGTGAACAGGATAGTGAAACATTTCATTTTAGGATATGGTAAAACATTGGGAATGCCGGCCAAAAGCTCCTGGTTTCGGCCAGGCAGCCTCTTCTTAATAAGACAGCAATTCAGACTTGGGTCAAGCACTTCATTAAGGAGCAAGCCCTATTCAGACATCCCTGGCTAGGCTTGTCTTATTCTGCTTTGGGCTTAACATTTCATGTAGGTGCTGTTGATTTGCAAGAACTTTAAAAAAAGGCAGACTTCTGATCTGGGAAGCCTGTGCGTTGGTGTTGAGGCTGGGAGTCTCTTCTTCTGTGTTCTTATGCACACCAAAGCCCTGTCAAGTCACCCAGGAAAATATCTCCTGGTTTTGCTGCAATCACATTTTGAAGCAAGCCCATGCCACCTGCATGTTAGTTCTGCTTCAAACACAGAAACCCAAAGGGTCATTTCCCCTGCAGAATAATATGGTGCTATTAATAACATCTTTTCCCTTGGCCAACCCGAAATCATCCACCTTATCCATGGTTATCTTAGCCTTCTAACCATGGCTGTAGGTGAGATGACCGGCTGTTGTCACAGATGTTTTTTTTTTAACGTTCATTTCTACTGTAAGGCTCTATTGCTTTTTTAAATTTAAAAAAGGAGCAAACACACTTGCTTTCTAGATCGATTTATGTCAATGCTCGAGCAATGAACTGATGGCCCCTTTTGAGTTGGTGGCTGGTGTGTCTAGTCTCGCAATCTGAAGCCTTTGTGTGTTGGTTCCCCCCACCTTTTGAATAGCTGGGCTATTTTGTGTCTTACTTTCAAGCTGTAATGTGTGAATAATGTTAAGCACATATGCCTTGTGAAAACAATGAGCTGAGAAATTTTGTGATCGTATGGGAATAAGAGAGTAGTGGGTTAAAATGGAGTTTGGTGCGAGGGGCCGTGTACCCCTCACACAGGATAGAGCTGTGTCGGGCGGTGATGTGGGAGAAGCTTGCAATGCAGTGGGATTGTTTCAGTATTCAGGCAGACACCGAATAAGCCATTGTGGGGCTGTGGGGGGACACGCAGCAGATGGAAAGCCCAAGGAGAGCAGAATGACATCTTTCGGTGCATGGGCAGGATGCGTACTGAAGATCATGAAAATGCTGAGCCAAATGTCCCCGAGCTTTAAGCAAGCTTTAATTTATACATCTTGATATTTTTTTTACAAGCTCACTTGTCCAAGGTTCACTAAGGGGGTACCTGGTGGTACCCCCAATAGCTTGTGTACATCAACCCAATTTCCCTAGGTTTTTGTTTTATTTTTGTTACCTGCAGGCGATTATAAATTTACAGGGGTTGTCTGCTCCATTCTGCTTCAGAATGAAGTTAGCCACCATGCAAATGTGCAAAGCTTCATGAGATGAACCTTACTGAGTCCATCACGATTCTAGATTTTCTCATAATGCACAAGTTGTCCCTTTCCCAGGATCAATAGTCCTACAGCCATTTAGAATAGCCCTTATTCCCTCTTTCTAGTCAGATGAGATGGTAGATTTTTGCAAACAAGGTAAGGGAATCTTGGGAGAGAACCGATTGATTTTGCTACTTTCTCTCTGCAGTTTTGAGCTCTTGAGACAGCTTTCCACAAGATCCCTTAAGGTAGCTTTTTAAATTTTTGTTTTAATGAGTGAAACTCTGCCTTGCACATGGGGAGTTGAAGGGGAAAGTCAGTTAGTGATAGAATCTGCTGCTGCTCAGGAATTCACTTGTAAAATGTAAAAAAAAAAAGTCAAATTTGTAAATGGATTGAAGGGAATACCCATTTTCTTTTGAGGTGGCAATATGGGATATTTTTTCCTAGGGACTTGGAACTTGGTTTGTACACATTAGCTCATGAAAAGGACATTTATTTAAAATTCACACTTTCCTGTGTCTTCAGTTTTGTCTTGGTTTTAAAAAATTTGCTCCATGTTTGAACTGTCATTTTTCCATAGAATTCATGTGAATCTTCTGGCGTGTGTGTATATATGTCTGTAATAATCTTATCAATATATTTTTCACCTTTCCAAGCTTTCCAGTTCTCTGCACTGCAAAGTTTTCTTTCTGTTCTAATCTCCACTTTGAATTTCCCTGCACTTCACCTTGATTTGTAATTGGAAAAAAATGGCTTTGAAGTTTGTCTTTATATTAAAAAATGTATGTATTTTAATACACTGTGCATTGTAGTGCTTCAAGCCTTCTGAAGTTGGCTCCTTTCTTTCTGGAGAGTGTCGAGAAGAGACAAGTCCATCCAGCAATCGCTACAATATTCAATGTCGCGAAAAGCACACAGTGTCAAGGGGTACACTGTATTTTGGCAGGCTCCTTCTCCCACAATCAAACATTCGCCTGGCTTTCCAGATTCTGCTGCCCACATAAATTGTGGCTTCACTGAGTTTCCCCACAGCACCCTATTATGGTAAGGGAAAAACAAATGTATTTGCTCTCTCCCAATTCAGCTGAGCAAAAACTCAGGCAATTCTGCTGCCCAGACACAGCCTGTCCAAACCATCGTGAAGCAGTCCACCTCCAAACTATCAGCAGAGAGGGGCTAGGACTGGATAGACCTGGAACACATAACCAAGATAAACCGTCTTTACCCTTTTCGGCTGAGACTAACCCAGGGGCCAAATCCAGGCCGGGGGGCGAACACTGGGTGATCCTGGCCTTTGTCCATCTGAAAAGCTGAAATGCCCTTTCCAAAGGGAAAGTAAGAAGCAGTAAGAGCTGTGAACTATCTTAGGCTTAGTTTTGCTTTTTTGCAAAACCTCCCCCTCTTGCCTTCAATCCCCCCTCCCCAATACAGTCCCAGGAAGTGTACTTGAGATGAAATTCATCCCTTTGCACCTCTGCCTAAGCCAGTAAAAAAAGTCCCCCAATGTTTTCTCCACCATGAGGACTATCACCCTTAAGAGCACATTTGATGACCAGGATCCTACAGAACTCCCACAGTATCCTCACAACCACCTTGCGGGGTGGGCTCCCCAGGGTCCCCAGGAATCTTCATTTGCCCATCTGAGTTCCTGGTCCCACCGTGATAGCAGCTCCTGCACCTCGAACAAAGCACTTTGATTTTGGTGCATGCATAGGAGAAAGTTAAAGATAAAACGTGGCCATTTCAGTGAGACGTTAACCTGTTTTAATGTAAAGAAGCATCACATTGGGCCACTTGCTATTCCAACAAGGAACGGAGTGGCAGTGAGGGACGAGAGAGAAGATTTGGGGATGTAAACAGATAAATCCCAGATATCAGAGGCCTCCAAAATGTTTGGAGAACCAAAGTCATCCTCTAGATGGTGAATTTTTCACATTCTTCCCCCCTCCCACCCACACCCCTCAGGATCCTAAGGAATTAAGTTTTCAGAATGCCCCAAGCAGTTTCACAGCAGGTTTTAAAAATACATTCAGCTGCCAGACCCAATGGGCAAAACAGAGGGAAAAACATGGATAGCACAACAAAATGTCTAGGTAGGGGGATTCTTCAGTGACAAAAGAACTGCACTGAACTGAGATGATGGGTAACTCACCCAAGTTCTTTGATGCCAAGAGCAGTCGTACTTGGTGCCAAATCTGTGGGGGCTAGGAATGCGGGACAAGGCCCAACACATCTGGGGAGCACCAGGTTGGGGAAGGCTGTGCTGTGCTGTCCCACATCACCTGGAAGAACCGCGAGGGGGGTTAGCCTTTGTGCTGCCCCCCGTGCAGGAGTCATGACCGAGCCAACATCTGTAATCTCCCTCCTGGGCCAGAGCTCGGTCTGTACAGTCCACATCATCTCACAAAGGAGATACATGGTAAAGTGCCAGCACATGCAGGGCCTCTCTGCACTAAAGTCGGAGCGTTTCTCAGACACTACCTGATCTCCCAGCATTGCCAATCCAACTACTGTGCGAATGCAGCATTTCCCCATGTTGCAGGCACTTCCTTTTTTGGAATTGAAATGAAAGTCTAGCTCACACTCACACCTGAAAAGCTCACCTTCTAGAGCAGGTAATGTCTGAGTGCAGCTTTTCTGCCTTGGGGTGTGCTTGAAGGCTCCAACCACACAATGCAAGCAACTGGCTGTTCTCTGTCCCAGCGGCAGACTGGAAATGGGGGCAGCCGGGGAGCTGTGACCTCCCCTGCGTGGCAAGAAGTGCTCCCTGGAGGGAGGTGGTGGGGTGTGCGAGAGCCCTTAAAGTTGTCTCGGCACCCTGCTTCGAAATAACCACTTCCCCATTTTGTAACTACCTTTGCAAATTATGGCCGAGAAGAGAACTGAAACAACACTCAGGGACATTTTCCCATTTCTTTTGCTTTCACAGTGTCTGTGTGCACACACCCCTGTATGGGAAAGGAGCCGGGGGTGCAGGGGGGGCGGGCAGGACACACATGTGCAGAAGCAGCAGCTTCTTTAAGTCAACTGTCAGAAATGCTCGTCCCTGGGTACCAGTAACAGCAGCATGACTTCTGCTGGTGATGCAGCAAAAGCAGCAGAGGGAAATCACGAGGACACAGGCATCAGGGAAAGCGGGGTTTGTGTGTGGACAAACCATTTCCCCCTTAAATAAGAAAAGCTCATGAGTTCATTACAAAAACCACAATAAAGAAGAAGCCACTTGGTCGATGTTTGAGGGTGGCAGAGGCCAGAGCGAGAGGATCTGGCAACACCCCGTGCAAAACGGTGATGCCGGACGAGACGCCAAGCCGTGGGCAACCCCTGCCAACCGTTGGTATCAGAACCTCTGTGTGCCCAGCTGAAAACGGGCTTCCTCGGAGATGCCATACTGCTCCAAGGGGTCCTGTAGCCAAGAGGAGGAGGCAAGGCAGGGGGTTACACTGCAACCCAGTTTCTGGTGCTAACAAATGCGTTGCTCACACATGTTTATGCTTGTCTGGGTAGCTTGCTCAGGGCAGCCAGACACCGAATTTGCTTAGGATTTGCTTTCAAATCCAGGTCAGCTCTCGGCACAGAAGGCCAGCCTCTGCTCCCATCTCTTCGGCAGGGAAACCCACCCCTTTCGCGAAGGAGCCTGCTTTCCCTCTTAGGATATGTCTCCTAATTTTCAGGTGAAAGCTCCCCGCATGCAAGTCCCAACCTACGGTTCTAGTTCTGTCTGCAAACAAGCAAGCAAAGCAATCCTCATTTCTGCAGGATGGCTCTCCAGGGACTGGGAGAGCTCTCACATCTCCCCTCCGTCTGCTTCTCCGCAGGCTCAATGCGCCCCGTGCTTTCACCCCACTAGATTTCCAGACCCTCTGCATCCTGGTTGCACAGCTCTGCCCAGACTCCAACTTGTCGATACCCCACTTCAAATGGGGTGCCCTGGGCTGGACACAGCACTCCAGATGTGACCTGACCAGTGCTGGGCAGAATTGACGTGTTGCTGGCTACTTCCATCAAGGAACCCTGCACTAGCTTTAGTCCTTAAATGCGAGGCCGCCCAGGCCTCCCTGCTCATTTCCTCCTGTTAGTTGGGGCTCCATATAAGGCATGCGTCCAGTCCAGCTGTGAGCAATTCCAGGGCCTCTCGTCTTTCCTGCTGACTCTTGCATGTTTTCACAAGCCTTTCGGAGGCCTCTCCAGCTGCACTCCATCCAGCTTTTGTCTAACAGGTTCCAGCTTCCTTTCCCTGCCTAACATTCTCTTCTCCTTCCGCTCACGTCTGGAGCAAGCGTTGCCGTGCTCAGGCCGCTGCAAGATCTAGCAGGGAGACCGTTTTCGCCCCCTCCCATGAGACTAGAGCCCGAAGGGGCCATCCCATGGCGCTGACGGAGACATGGGGGGAAGCCCCCGCTCCCACGGCACCCTGTTAAAGCATGGTGTTTGCTTCCCCAGGATGGAGTTGGGGCTGCCAAGTTGGCTGGCCTTAAAAGGAGATGGGACACATTCATGGAGGAAAAAGCTCTCCAGGGGGATTCGCTCGGGTGGCTGCAGGCTGCCCCCAGTGTGGAGTACATTGGCTGTGAACCTGTTGCTGAGGAGCATGAGTGGGAGGGTGCTGATGCGCTTACAACCTGCAGGACGGATCCTGAGGGCAGCCGGCGGAGCCAGACAGATGCTTTGCTGGATCCAGCGCAGCTCTTCTGTCTGCCGCATTTTCTGCGGGTGTGACAACTGTGCCACCTGTCCGCCTCAGAGGTCTGACAGCATCCCTGGAGTGTGGCACGCTCATCCAAGCCTAAGGAAACACCCTTGCACAAGCACGCCTTTGCTCACCTTCCCAGTCATTTTCTGGATCTCGTTCCGATAGAAGATCAAACTGCTTCGCATGAACTCGTAACTGTGGGAGAAGGAGAGATGATGAGAACTGGGGCAAGGCGCTGCCAGTCCCTGAGTTTACACTCGAATGAGTCCTGCAAGGCCAGGGCCCCGGCCAGCCTCACCTTGCCCTACGAAGCACCTCGATCCACTCCTCACACTGCTGCTCGCTATCACACTCAAAGTAGTACTTCCGCTCGGGTTCCTCCAGGAAACCTGCAACACAGGCCAATGTGATCGCCGTCCTGCACCTCTCCCATTCCACCCTTCTTTCCCCACTGCCCTGGCACCAATTCCCAGGATTCCTGCAGTTCTCTTGATGTTTTGGTCCTGCCTGGCACTTAATACCTCTGGGAAGCAGTCCTTTTTTCAACAGGGGCCGGATTCTGAGCCGAGCAAAGCTTGAAGGCACAGGCTAACCGGGCTTGGCCCATCGTCTTGCCCCTCAGGAGTCAAGACTGCTGAGAGACGCAAAGGCCTCTTTCCTTTCGTTTATTTATTTATGCACCATCTCCCTTATGCATCATGCTGTTCACACATGCAGCAGAACAAGGAGGAAGAATTCTGTCTGCAGGGAAGAGCACCCTTAAAAGAGATGGGTCCTCTGCATTTGAAAAGCAGAACCAAGTCACAGAAAACGGAGCAAAAGAGCCCCGCTCCTCACGCATAAAAATGCGCGCATTTTTAAAATGTTACTTCAAGGGTGAGATACCTTTGTCTCCCTTTCTGTTCAAGGAACCACTTGTTTTTTCCCTTCTAGTGGAAGGAGATTATGTAGTTGCTGGTGGGGGGCTTTGCTCCAACAATGGAGGCTTATTAGCGGAGAAATGACTTTGGCCTACAGCCGCTATCACTACAAGGTGAAGCAAACAGATCAGGAAGGCTGGGGCAGGAGGAGGGAGTGCAAGCAGCGGAGCCAAAAAGCGGCCATCGATTCTGCATTTCATCTTTTCATCATTACAAGATTATCCACTCCCCTTTGATGAGATCTGAGTGGGGAGTTGACAGATCTCCTGGCAGAGAAGGCAGCAAGTTAACACTGTATTACACAGAAAGGAATTCTTCGGGCTAACCTGAATAAATAAAATGCTAAATTGCTTTTGTGGAAATTCCTTGGGTTTGGTGTTAGGACGGAAGGGCAATTTTCTGTCATGCTACCTTCTCCAACTACTCAGACTTTGACAAGTTCCATCAAGTCACAGAAGCATAGAATAGTAGTTGGAAGGGGCCATGAAGGCCATCAGGTCCACCCCCTGCTGCTGCAGGACACCAAGCTACACCATCCCATTCAGAGGGCTGCCCAGTTTGGCCTTGCCTGTCTCCAGTGTGAGAAAGCCCACAGCCTTTCTAGGCAGCTGGTTCCATTTAAAACTCTCTTTAATGAAATAACCATTTATAATGGCCTTCACTAAGCTGTTGTTCTGATAAGTTGGACTACACCTCTCATCACTCCCAGCAATCATAGAACCATAGAACAGTAGAGTTGGAAGGGGCCAGGAAGGCCATCCAGTCCAACCCCCTGCTGTTGCAGGTCACCACATTACACCGTCCCATTCAGATGGCTGCCCAGTTTCTTTTGAACGGCTCCAGTGTAAAGGGCCCACCACCTCTCCGGGCAGCTGCTTCCACTCTCCTATCGCTCTGAGAGTGAGGGAGCTTGCGACTTGCTTCAACTCTCAAGGGTCTTTCATTCCAAAGTGAATGGCCTGTGATGAGGCAACTTTTTCTCATCTGAAGAGGCGCTTTAAAATCTCGGATCATTTGTGCTGTCCCTTTCACACCTGCATGGAGCATTCCTATTGCAGCCTTTCAAACAGACCTGCATAAGGCAAGGGTGTCAAACACATGCCAAGCTGGCCCTGGGGGCCCAAGCTGGGGCCTATCCTGACCGGCATCCCTGGTTCTCCAGGGTTTCATGCAGTTTTTCCAGACCTTCCTGGAGGTTCTGTGGAATGTACCTGAGACCACAATGCCGCTTGCCTTTGAATCAGAGCAAGCAGTACCTACTTTTGGTAGAGGGCCCGTTCTGTGTTTCTGTACACAGTGTTGGTCTAAGGTAGCCCTAAGGTAGGTTTAGCACCCAGCAAGGAGCAGCAACTCATACGGATAAGCGACAGGCAGCCTCATCAGAGGAAAGGAATTGCTGAACAAGAATCAAGGGACACTCAGCACCCTTGGCAAATGTGGGAAGATACCATAGTGCAGAGAGGAGAAGAGGTCAATTTCTTAATTCCTCACAGCACAGTAGCGGGAGACTCATGCATGCTAACTCTGGGATTTGAGAAATCCACCTGGCAATGGACAGGCATGCCACGCAGGAGATCCACGAACCCATTCCTTGTAGGCAGGGAAGCTCCCAAAGGGTGTATGAGAGAGAAGAGATGCGAGGGAAAGAAGGGTTTCCCGACTTAAAACTCCAACTAGGACGAAGCATCTTCTTCCTTCTCCATATGTCACAAGTCAAAGGCTAAAACTGGACCAGATGGGTTGGCTACCTTCTCCATGTTCTGCTAAAATGCAGAATGTTTGTCCCTGCAAATGTTCCAGAGAAAACTACCTCCGGAAGAACTCCACCCCGCACTCCATGACCCCAACCCAAAGCCTCTTTCTCAAGGACTCACTAATGGAGAAGACGTGTTCTTCTTCTCGGTTGATCCTGCAGCGTTCGAGCAGCAAAGCCCCAATAGGCTGCGGGGGGGGGGAGGGGGAGGAGAAAGAAAATGATTTAGATTTGCCTACTGAATTCGATGGCTTTTTAGAAATAAGCCTTTACATCTGACATGTTCTGAACTCACTCTGAACTGGCCTTGCAAACAACAAGATCATTTATTTAAATGGAAACACAGACTAAGTTTCTTAGGTAAGTTTCAGGAGTAGAGATCCTCGCACACAGAACCCAAACTGGGCCTCGTCTGTTGTGCCTTCCCAGAAAATTACACCGTGTCTCTCTCAACCAGCCATACTTGGGTGGCTTCCTGGCTTTGAAGTAAGTTTTGCTGCCCCATTCTAAAAGGCTTTGTTATTCGCGGGAAAGAGGTAAAGGTACCATGCTTGAAACTTTAGCATTTTGGCCCTATCTACCACTGGAATGTGGTCTCTCACAGCTTTTTCAAAATGAAATTTTGCCCTTGGGCTAAAAGAGATTTAATAACCGATAAAGATGCTGCATTGGCTATTCTATGTTGATTCAATTGCCATTAAGGTTTTGTTGTTTAAATATGTGTTAGGTTTGTTAACCATCCAAGATCCTCAGTTATCGGGTGATATAAAAATGAAATCAATAAATGAACCAAATAAATTGGCAGGGCCCTTCTGATCTGGTTCTCTAGAAATATTTAGATGCCCACTTCTGCCAGCGAGACCAAAGATCCTAGATGATGTGAATTCTACTCCAATGTAACTGGAACAACATGAGTTTCCCACCCTTAGGTTAGCAAAAGGCTCATTTATCAGTATACCTATTGGGATTCCAAGACACATGGTCTATGGGAAGAGAACCTGTTAAAATCCCAGCTGCTGCAACAGGCCAATGTCAATAAGGACTAGTAACATACGCCCTCATGCCCCTTAAGATCTACAGGAGAGGCCCTGCTCCAGGAGCCCTCCCTGAAGGAGGTAAAAAGGACATCTACTCGGAGGAGGGCCTTCTCTGCAGTGGCGCCCCGATTGTGGCATGCACTCCCCGGAGAAGTTCCCCTGGCACCGAGTTTATATCCTTTTTGGCGCCGGGTCAAAACCTTTTTATTTGTCATTTTAAAAATTAGTATTTTAATGTTTTAAAAGTTGCTTTTGATTTTGATTTAAATTTTTACTGGCATTTATTTTTAGATATGGTTGTTTTATTGTATTTTGATTTTAAGCATTGTAAGCCATCCTGAGATGCCATGCATAAGAGAGCCAGTGTGGTGTCGTGGTGAAGAGCATGGGAATGGGACTCAGACGACCTGGGTTCTAGTCCCCGCTCGGCCATGGAGCCAACTGGGTGACTCTGGGCCAGTCACAGACTCTCAGCCCAGCCTACCTCACAGGGCTGTTGTTGTGGGGATAAGATGGAGGAGGAGAATGATGTAAGCTGTCTTGAGCCCTTTGTTGGAAAAAGGCAGGAAAGAATCAGAAAATAAATAAGGAAGGGACGGCATACAAAAGTTTTAAATAAACAAATAAAATGAACTTTTTATCTCTAGTAATATTACTAAACCTGAGAGTCCCGTGGACCATCAAGAGATCAAATCAGTCAATCTTAAAGGAAATCAACCATGACTGCTCTCCAGAAGGCCAGATACTGAAGCTGAAGCTCAAATACTTTGGCCACCTAATGAGAAGGAAGGACTCCCTGAAGAAGAACCTGATGCTGGGAACAATTGACGGGAAAAGGAGAAGGGGACGGCAGAGGATGAGGTGGCTGGATGGAGTCACTGAAGCAGTCGGTTTGAGCTTAAAGTGAACTCCAGGGGATGGTGGAGGACAGGAATGTTGTCCATGGGTCCGTGATGGGTCAGACATGACTTTGTGACTAACAACAACAATGTATGGCTGTGAAAGTTGGACCATAAGGAAGGCTGAGCACCAAAGAACAGAGGCCTTTGAATTGTGGTGCTGGAGGAGACTCCTGCGAGTCACTTGGACCGCAAGGCGATCAAACCGGTCAGTCCTAGAGGAGATCAACCCTGACTGCTCTTTAGAAGGCCAGATACTGAAGATGAAACTCAAATACTTTGGCCACCTAATGAGAAGGAAGGACTTCCTGGAGAAGAGCCTGATGCTGGGAGCAATTGATGGCAAAAGGAGAAGGGGACGGCAGAGGATGAGGTGGCTGGATGGAGTCACTGGGGCAGTCGGTGTGAGCTTAGGTGGACTCTGGGGGATGGTGGAGGACAGGAGGGCCTGGAGGAATGTTGTCCATGGGGTCCTGAGGGGTCAGGCACAACTTTGCGACTAAACAAACAACACTGTTAAAACTCAAGGGCACTTCCAATAGCCATTACCTCAGCCTCGTCTGTTCGAAAATAAAAAAGAAAGTTGACCACCAGCTTCACCAGGCGCTTCTTCAATGCTGTGGAGAGAGAAGAAACAAAGGTTCTAAGCATCTAAGCATCTGGGCTATGCAAAGCGATCATCCCCCACACAAGTTCTTACAGCCACCGCCCCCCATCGATTCTCCTCTGTTGCACCACATAGCGCTGGTCGGTCGGTCGGTCGATCGGTCTATCGCATTTATAGGCCGTCCATCACTGTCGTCTCTGGTTGGCTTACAATATAATCTAAATCCTAAACTAAATAAACTAACTATACCATGACTGAATACATACAATAGAACAGTTAAAGTAAGTTAAATAAATATACAATTAAAATCAATTAACATTAAAATACTGGTTAAATAAAAAGGTCTTGACCTGGCGCTGAAAAGCATATAATGATGGCGCCAGGCGGACCTCTCTAGGGAGCGCATTCCATGGCTGTAGCTAAAGAAAACTTAATTGTGCTCTAGAGAGAGCAGGTAGCTGAAAAGATGCTTCCTTTTCAACCACAAAAGGCTTCAGCATGATTCTCTCCACTAAAGCTGACGATGAGTTTAGTGATGGAAGACACAGCATGGAAACCCGACTCGGGCCTGGAGCTTGTTGGATGATGCGGGGCTAGTCCCGGTCTTCCTGGTCTCACATCCTGCACAGTATAGCTGAATACATCGAGCAATTCTGTGACCCCTTTCAAGAAAGCACAGGAGAAAAGGGGGTTTTGCCCTTGGTCGTGGCTGTAAAACATTTCACTTAAAAAACCAGTTACATCATATAGTTCCCCCGACTCAAGGCTTGATTGTTACAAATCAAGCAAACCTATCAGGTTGAAACCCATGGGCTGGGGATAGTTCTTTGTTCTTTAGTGTTAATTTGGTCACTTAGGAGCTCCCCTTCCTAGGCTGGCTGCACTTTGTAGGGCCTTCTTCTATCGACACATGGAGAGGATTGTGCCATCAATAAATCAAACGGTTGTGGAGTGAGGGGCAGGCGGGGAGGAAATGAAAGAGGCTGAAATGCCACTGTGCACATAATCAGCATACCCACCCCAGCAATGAACATCCTAAAAATTTTATGGCACTCAGAAGAGGGTGGTGTCCAGCGGGGCTCTGAGGCCAGAAGGAACACTGGGGCTCCTCCGGGGGCAGGGAGGCTCGTGGGCCCCCAAAGGGGCTCTGTGGGCTGCATGTAAGTGGAACTGAATTAAGTTTTCCAGGCCAATCTGATATTTCTCCTTCAGCCAGGCCCATGTGCGTGCGCAGGGTGAAGTAAACAGCCGGGCAACTGGCCTTGGGGGTGGGGGCGAGGGCACGTTACACAGGGAGAAGTGCTCATTCATTTCTATGGGATCTCTCTATCCCACCGCTTCAGCCCAGGCATCCTCGGGGCTGTTTGCTGGAGAAAAGGGGGCACAGTATGGGAAACACGAACACAAGGACACGTGGAAAAGCAGCTCAAGAAGAGGCTTAGCGGGGAAGCGAAGGCGGTGCCGCCGAGGACCAGGCACAGCCAGAGGGGGCCTAGCGGGAAGCGTGGGGGGCCGAGACTCATGTCCGCCCCCATGGCCATAATGCTCGCAAGATGCCCCTCAGCCGAGCCCACCTCGCAGGGCTGTTGTGAGATCAAAAGGCAAGCGGGACGCCCACGCAAGCTGCGAGAGGAAAACCAGTCGTATATAAATATAATGAACAAATGACGAAAGAGAAACTGCGGTGGAGACGGGGGTGTGGGCCCTCCAGGTGCTACAGTTTGGTAACTCCCATCTTCTCCTATTGACAACTTTGGCAGGGTTGATGGGAGCTGCAGTCCAGCAGTCCCTGGAGGTCTCACAGGGTGCTCGTGCCTGCGGCGCGGGATGCAAGCCCACGCACGCTCCTAGTCCACAGCGAGGCCGAGGCCGATGACGTCACGCCGCCCCCTCTCCTCTCTCCCAGCCACCCCCCGCGAAACGCCGTGACGCGGCCGCTCCCTCCTCACCGCTTCCCTTCTTGGGGGCGCGCATGAGGATCTCGGCCGCCTTCTCGGCCGGCTGCCGGGAGAGCGACAGCAGCTCCCGCTCGTTGTACCGCATCGCCCCAACCGCCCGCCGGCCACGCCCACGACGCCGCTCTGCACGCGCCTCTCTATGTCTCGTCCCTCCACGCCGGAAGCCCCGCGCCTCACTTCCGCTGAGCCGCGCTTCCGGCCAGGCGGCGCCTCATGTTTGCGCTCCTGTCGTGGCGGCATAGGGGTGTTCCGTTCACTTCCGGGGTCATGCCCTGCCACTGGCGGACTTGCCCGGAAGTGGATCCCCGTAGCGCGCAGTGCTCGCTCTCTCTGGCCCCACGAAGGCAAGGAAAAAAGAAGGAAGGGGGCGGCTAGGGCCCAAGGCCTGGCGAGACTCTCCTTGCGGCCTGGTGCTTCGGCGGTAGGCGGAGGGCTCGAGCGGGAGGCCGGGAGGAGGATGAGGGGTGCGAAGGGGGCAGGAGGAGGCCGAAGCTGTGGGGGGGCAGGGAGGAAGGGCCCCTCCTGATAGGGACTGAAGCAAGGCTGTTGAAGGGGCTGCGGCGGAATTCGGTGAATGGGGGCCTCAAAGGGAAGGGCATTGGGGAGGGGTATGCAAGGGCAATTGGAAAGGGAACTGGGGAGGATCGGGGATACACGGGGGCCTTGGGGGAGGGAGCTTGAAGGGAGCTCTGAAAGCGCCTCTGCAGGGAAAGACTTGGGAGAGGGGGGAGGAGGATAGCCCGGATGATTAGGTCGGGGTTGGGTGCACCTTCACCAGAGAGGAGCCTGCTAGAAGGAGGCCACGTGGAAATGCATACCCTGAATTCTCTTATTTTAGGAGGCAGGTAAGGAGAGGGGAGTAAAGCGAATTTTGAGCTATGGAGACTACAGGTTTGTGTGTATCTGTGGGAGGAAGTAGGAACTGGGTCCATGGTAGGGGCTGAAGAGGGAGCAGGTAAGTATGGTGCAGAGTGCAGAGATGTGCAAGGTGGCCATCGGGGAAAGTGGGTAGTAGAAGTGAGTGGAGGTGATGTGTATTGAGGGAGAGGGTAATGTTGGAAAGAGAAGAACAGAGAGATGAGGGGAGTTAGATGCCTTACAGCAGAACAGAGCAAGTATGAGCTGCTGAACAGTGCAGTTGGAAAGTGGGGGTGCAGACAGGAGGGGAGGTAGTCACATCCCAACACTTTTAGGGTGGAAATGGGCAAGGTGGGTGAAGGCATAAGACGCCATTCTTCTGTATAGCAGCAGAGTATAGAATGTACTTCTCTATTGTAGATGTATGTTCTGGGATGTTCATCTGAAGGCTGGATGAGCAGAACCGACCCCTCCATGCAGGGTGTATATCGTTTTGGTAGCTTTGGATAGAAGTCCATAAAGTTTAAGTGTCTGCCTATTTACATATGCAAACATTACTGTCTTGGATTACTGTAACATGCTCTACTGAGGCTGCCCTTGAAAACGGTCTGGGTACTTCAACCTGTACAAAATAGAGCTGCCAGGCTGCTGATGGGGACCAGCCGTTCTTCTCATATAATGCCGGTCCCCTACCAGCTCCACTGGCTTCCAGTTGAAGTCTGGGCCCAATTCAAGGTGCTGGTTTTTTACCTATAAAGCCCTAAACGACTTGGGACGAGGATACCTGAAGGAATGTCTCCTTCTTTATATGCCCTCACACCACTGAAGATAAGTGAGGGAGGCCCAGCTCCCGGAACCCTCCCTGAAGGAGGTAAAAACAGCATATGCTCGGAGTAGGGCCTTCTCTGGTGGTGTCCTGATTGTGGAATGTGCTCTTCAGAGAAGTTTGCCTGGCACTGAGCCTATATTCTTTATTTAAATGTTATTTTAAAATTTAGTAATTTTAATAACAGTCACGTTGATATATCTTACTGGTTATATATAATTTTATTGTATTGTTTTATTGATTGTTTTTATTCACTGTAAGCCATCCTGAGACAATTATCGTAAAGGATGGCATACAGATGTTTTAAAATTAAATTAAATTAGTATTTTAAATGGCCAGAATGAAATTAGAATCAATTGTTTTCTGCTTGGCATACTAGTTTGCTGTCTGCTTGCCTGGGAAAGTTTATTCACATGTCATAGATGACCAAACTGGAGAAGAGGGCCTTCTCTGCGGTGGCGCCCTGGCTAAGGAATGTGCTTCCCAGAGAGGTCCACCTGGTGCCAACGTTATATGCTTTTCAGCGCCAGGTCAAGACCTTTTTATTTTCCTTTGAAAATGAACATTTTAATTTTCCTTTGAAAATAAACATTTTAAATAAACATTGAAACATTTTTAATTTCAATATTTAAATATTTCAATCTATGTTTTATGCTCAGTCGTGGATTATTATGGATTTATATGTATTTATTGGGTGTTTGATTTGTAAGCCATCCAGAGACACGCAACTTAATTGGACAGGATAAAAATACCCAAATAAATAAACAAACATCGGTTGTGCTTTGTCTCTGAATTGCTTCTGTTTATTTTAAAATTGCCTGCCACACAGATAGGGTTTTTTCCTTATTTCTTACACTCAATTTGTTGCTGTTAAGTTGTCTCAGACTTACAGTGACCCTATGAATGAGTGTTTTTCATGCTGTTTTGTGGATAGTAAAGTTGACTTGCAAACTCAAGCCTGCAGCCTCCTTTATGGAGCTGATCCATCCTGTAGTTGGTCTTGCCTTCTCCTCCTGCTTTCTTCTTTTTCCATAGCATTATTACAGTGGTACCTCGGCTCACGAACTTAATCTATTCCAGGACTCTGGTTGTGACCCAAATTGGTCATGAGCCAAGTCCAATTTCCCCATAAGGTCCAGTGTAAATAAGGTTAATCCGCTCTGTAACTATTTGTTTTTTAATCACAAGAATTTGACGCAAAGTGACAAAGAAAAACAAAGATCACGGCCATCTCCTCCTGCACCCTGAGCATGGTCATCTCCCCGCCCCCCAGCACAAGCGCAATCGTGCCTGTCATACCTGCACCAGCACACCCGCTTGGGGAGGGGGAGATGGGCATGATCGCAGGCGTCCCCAGGGAGGGGGAGACAGGCGTGGTCGTCACTGATGCAGAGTTCGCAACCTGAGGCAAAAATTTTCAGAAATTTCTGTTCGCGACCCAATTTGGTTGTGGACTGAGGTGTTCGTGAGCTGAAGTACCCCTGTGTTTTTCTCCAGTGTGTCTTGCCTTCTGATAGAAACATAGAAACAGAGCGAGTCAGAAGGCGCCTCCCGGGCCATCTAGTCTGACCTCTGGCACCAGCTGGCTCCGCTCACAACATGCCTACCATGTGCATGTCCAGCCTTTCCTTGAACACCCGCACCAATGGGGCCTCAACGACCTCCCATGGAAGCCCAGTCCACACCCTCAGGGTCCTAACTGTCAGGAAGTGCTTCCTGGCATCCAAATGGAACCTGGGTTCCCTGAGCTTTGCTCCGTTGGAGCACATCCTGCCTTCCTCTGCAGGGGGGAACAGGTCTCTGCCCACCTCCCTGTGACACCCCTCACACACCTGCATGTCGCCAACAGATCCCCCCTGAGTCTCCTCCAGGCTGAAGAGACCCAGTTCCCTCAGTCTCGCCTCATACGGCATCCCCTGCAAACCAGCCAACAACCTTGTGGCCCTGTGCTGCTCTGACTCCAACCTGGCTATATCCTTTCTGTAATGAGGGGCCCAAAACTGAGCACAAGACTCCAGTTGTGGGTGCACCAGAGTCGTATAGAGTGGTAGTAATACCCCTCTCGATCTAGAAGCCACACTTCTGGCTATACAACCAAGGGTGGCATTCGCCCTCTTGGCCACTGCACCACACTGCTAAACGCCATCCTGTTATCTCCCACCCACTTCCATAGTCTGTCCAGTTCCTTTTGGATCTGGAGTACCTGCTCCTCAGTTGTGGCCACTGCTCCAGTTTTAGTGTCGTCTGCGAATTTGTTCAGCAGACTGTTCACCCCTTCTTTCATGTCATTTATGAAAAGATTAAACAGGATCGGCCCCAGGACAGAGCCCTGGGGGACCCACTTGTCACTGGCCGCCATCCCGATGATTGCCCGCCAATGGTTACCCTCTGCTTTCGATCAGTCAACTGTGCCCTAATCCACCAGACGGTGCTTTGGTGTATCCCAACACTCCTCATTTTCTCCACCAGGATATCATGGGGCACTTTGTCGAAGGCCTTGCTGAAATCCAGGTATACCACATCCACTGCATCCCCTCCATCCAGCCACCTCGAAACCTTGT